TAATTCATAAACGAATAACTATAGATATATGAAAATTTCACTGAATGTTTATATTAGCATTTCCTATACACCATACAGTTTTGAAAATATTTTGACTCTTTTTGAGCTGTTTACGGACATTTTCAGTTTTCAATTTTTTTAGTTTTTTTTTTTATAATTGTCAATAAAATTTTATTTGGTGGGCCAAAAAGTCTGAAAATTGAATACAAGCTTTCTTATATATTGTTACAATATCAGTTGAAAAATTTTAAAAATACATAGGCACGATTTTTTTTTATAAGCATTTAAAGTTGGAATTTTGACAAAATTTATCAAAATCTCGAAAATAATCAATCGTTGGAATTAAAAAATTATAAAATGTTCAGTTTTTATAACTAAGAGTTGAAAATTTAAAACAAAGATTCTCTTAAATAATTCATACTGTAACCAAAAAATCTAAAAAATATATAAACACACTTATTTTTTACAGACATTTTAATATCAAGTTTAGACAAAATTTCATATTTAAACCAAGAATTACGATTTTAGTTATTTTGTTGTGATTGTATAATATTATTCGTGGGTACTTGAAATTTCTAAAGTAATCTACTATATATATCTATGATAGTATCAGGGTTTGTTATTGGTGTATAACGCGTTATAAGTACCTAATGGATATTGTGATATGATTAATTTGGAATTCATTATAGGTCAATTTTTTTTAACACCATAGATATGTATATAATATGTCTTTTACCTAGAAGGACATACCGTCTCCGCTCAGAATCGTTTTTCTTATACAATGATATTATATCATTGAATTCAAATTTAATACCATCCATTATACAATGACCCACTTGTAACCTACTGTACAGCAGAGCGACACCCACTTGCCCACCTTTTTTCTATTATAAATTGTTTAATTAAATACAATTTTTAACTGGCCTAAATTGTGTACCCTAATCAGAATAAAAGATTTTATATTTTACCATAAAAATCTATTATAATTGAAGGCTGAGGCGCATAGAACCAAAGCAGCAAAAGGGTTTATAATTTTTATACAGGATAGGTAGGTAATTAAAGTTTTGATTATTTTTCAACGTTTCAACGTTTTATTTCTAATAATAAATACAATTAAGTAACCACTACAGTATTTCCAGTAATTAAAAATGTATCAACAATATGTTAACTAAGTTTTTAAATTTAAAGTGTTTTTGGTGTGATAGTTTATTAGTATAAACTTGGTTACACCACAGTCCACAGAATATATTAATTACTATATATTATTATGTGTTTAAAAGTTAATAAGTATGTTTGTAATTTTAGTTCCAGTTATGATAAAACAATTGTAGGGAATGATATTGTATTTTCAATCTTGGTCTATGATTGGGCTTAATATTAATATTTTCCCCGGGCGTAAAAATTCTTAGATCCGCCTCTGACATTATAGTATCAACTAGGTATATTATTTCTCCCATTTAATAGATATTTTTGGATGGGCATGGGATATAAAGGCATGATGACCAGGTCCAAGTGACACAATTACATAAATATTATAGACGATATGTGTGGTTAATGCGATCAATATTATAATGGCGCAATATGTACCTACATATTTCAATGAGCTTAAAGTCAAGTTTTCGGATTGAGTCCACCAGGGATAGAGTGCAGATTTCCTGCTCCGTGAAAAAGTGAGAACTTTTTAATTACATAATTATATATATTATAATTTATAATTAATTCCAATTATATAAAATAATAATAATTTTTATTTCATATACAACACATACAGCAAGAAATGCACACATTTTGTAATAATTACGTGTACCTATTGCAATAAACATAATATACATATTATTATATAGGTATAATGTTATGTGGTAAGGAAAAATTATATTTTCACACGCACCGGAAAACCCTACACAATAGACTGAGAATTTCTACTGCACAACAAGTAATAATTTTAATCACCAAACAGTTAATAATTTTTCCAGAGTTTGTATAATATATTAAAGTACCTACTTAAACATATTACATATTTATCATTTACTTACTTAGTACCTAAATTCATTCATTTTAATATCAGAAATGATTACTAGAGGCTTCACTTAGTTTAAATCACGTGGAGGCCCAGAAGTTATCTCACTTACAACATGTTTTTAATTAATACACACACTAAAAAATTCAAGAGTAGGTATAAGTTAAATCAGCAAAATAAAACAAACCGTTAAATAAAAATGGAATGTTGCAATGTCGATATTCAAGCAAAATATATATGGTTTGTTGCTTCGTAGGTATTTGTAAAGACAGAGGGTAACGAATTTTTTGAACATATTTGTAAGGACATATTGGCCACATCATTGGGCATTAAATTATGTATATCTTAGTCCCAACGAAATCGAACATATAATATCTAACGACAACAAAGTTTTTTTAGGCCATTTTAATGATAAGTGTTATTCTGCATATTATCTAGTCTTGCCCTCGTGTTTAATGGAGGTTAATAGATTATGTTTTTTAGGTATATAGTGCAGGTTTTTATATATAAATTATTTATATTTAGTACGTTAAGTTCTCCAAATAATTTTGTAGTTGGATATCTTCAATATTTATAAAATTCAAATCTTGCAGTAGTATATTTTGACATTTTTGAAGCCGTAGAAGAGCATTATATCGTAGGCACCATCTCATCCAACTATACTGTATATTATGTGATTAGGATAGAGATAGAGTTGAATAAATCATTTTTATGTCTTTATAATATATAGAATCTCACGTAGTAATTTAATTATACAGATCATCTTTGTTACCTCATTGGTAATATAAATTATTTAATTTGTCAATGTCATGTCATGTGACACATTTCGATACATTAGTATTTGAAGTTTTGAACAATATAGTAACCGATTTAAACTGATATTGCTTTAAAGTTTTACAGTTTTGTTAGTGGATTTTCATTATTTTTTTTTTCATATACGTACATAATCAATATACCTAGTTGGATAGATGGATTAGATAGATCTATTATATAGTTATTCAAGAGAGTCATTCTTAGGGTTAAGATATTTATGACCATAAAAAAACTCTAAAAAATACCAAACAATAATTGTTATTAATTATTATCAAAGTAAGCCTTTAAAACAGCCAAATATGATATTATAAAATACGTTAAAATTGTTTCACAAGTGCTTACAGAAAGTAAAAGCAAAAATGTAATTATATTATTTACAAATTATTATCTTGTTTTTGAAGGAACTATTCATTTCATTGTGATTAGAGGATGGAAGTGAATATAATATTAATTCTTTGGTGCATACTTAAGGTATTGAACATGAGTGCAAAGTAAACATTTGTAGCTATGTCGTACGAACTTGCAGAATGCAATCAACTAGACAGTTGTTAGAAAATTATTGATTAATCGTAGGTACATGCAGTACATCATAAATCTACCAATACATAAACAATAATTTTTTCTCTAATATTGGAGACTTAAAGTATATATTATATTTTTACGATGTATAATACGTTATATGTTTATAGCTGATTCTATAACTATTATACATTATATAGATTGTGATTTGTGACGTTTATACAATTTTTCTGATTTAGTGAAAATCGTGTGTATTATTTTGGTGCATAAGGCTCAAAAATAGCATTATTTAATGATTCATCCTGTTGTAGAAATATAGGATTTAATAGCTTAAATATATTAAACTATAATATTATAACCATCGAATCATAAAAGTTTGGTAAGTAATTTCTCGTCTTATACAAATTAAAAAATGATTTAATAAAAATAATGTTTAACCAACACGATAAATACGAATTTAATCATGACCTACGAATATATATACCTTTAAAAAAAATGCAACAGAATAATGGCGGAGAACTCGACAGGCTAAATGCGTCGAAAAACAATCGATCGTATAAACGTCAAACAATAGAAATTATTAATAAGTATATGTACAATTTGATGAGAATCAAATACGTTTCTTGAGCAACAACATTTATTTATGTCTATTTATGATGTGTTTTGTAATTTGGTATGATAAAGTACCTTTCTAATTAAAAAACTAAAATAATACTAATTAAAATAATAATTGTACAGTTATAAAATAAAAAGGAAGATAGTTATTATAAATTGCCGAAAAAAATAAATGTAAATCATAAACATTTTAAAATTGTATCTTTTTTACTAGATAAATACTTAGGTCTTTCTAGATACAATTTTATTCATCATTGAGTTACACTGATATTGACAAGAATTAAAAATATTAACAATGCTATTATAATAATATGTTCGTGTAATGTCACTGAACAAATTAACCAGTATAACTACCTATAACCTATTATAATGTATATTATCATAATTAAGTTTAAGATGTTAAAATATTTTTTATTTTAATGTATATTTTTACACAATACCATGGTTTGCACGGATATAGTAGGTAATTACTTAAATCTAAATAAGATGATTTCATAGTGAACGAAACCAGTCAAAAAAATTAACATACAGATCAAGTAAAAATGACTAAAATAATTTTGATTATATTCTCCGACTACGTATATGATAATTCACAAGTAAAAACATCAAAATAATATTTAATTTTTTTAAGAATAATATTATATTATGCGTTAAAAACTGTCGAATAACGTCATAACAGTATAGGTACTATTATATGTACATATTATTATTATTTTATAAATAGTGAACGAGAGTTCGTAAAAATTGTCGACGCCCTAAAACGATTAAAATTTCTGGAAGTTCGAGTGGTGAGATATGGAAAAGTGCGAGCCACAACAACCCCGAACGTACGATGCGGTATAATAACAATAATCTACCGAACCGGATGGAAAACCTAACGCAATGATAGGTTATATATTATAATATTTTATTTCACGGCTGTGCAGAGGTGGTAGAATACCGTGTGACGGTCGATAGGGGGCTGCGTCTCGTCTCGTCGACGTAAACCCTTTGCGGTGGTGGTTGATTGAGGCGAGTAGAAGTGGAGCTTGGGTGTTCAAATGGCGAAACCACCGGGTGCGGGCGGATACTCTTCCGGTCTCTTCTTGACGGCACCGTCCTGGCCGCGCGTGACCGGAAGTGGTGGCGGCGGTACGTCCGGTACCGAAGAGTCTGCCGGCCTGTTGTTCTTAACAACAGTAGCGTCCACGGGCCTGTTGTTCTTGACGACCGTAGAGTCCGCGGGCCTGCTGTTCTCGAAGACCGCTGTAGCGACGGGCCGTGACACTTCGTGTCCGGACGATCCGTCGTCGGTACCAGTCGACTCCACATCCGACCGCGACGACGGGTACGACGGGGCTGCCGCGTACCTCACTTCGGGCCATTGGTAGAGGAACTGGAGCGGACGGAACACGGGCGTGACGATCGGTTCCGCTTGGCTGGGCAACAGACGCTGATCGGTGGTGATCAGGGCGTTGTAGACGCGCGGCAAGCGGCCCGCCTTTAACGCCACCTGTTGCGCGGCCGCGAGCTGGGCCGCAAACATGACTGTTGCAACGAACACCACGGCCCGTACGTTTCCCCAGCCGACCACGGTGGCTGCGGTGTGGCGGGACCCGGCCGACTCGGTCACCTGTTAACGGTCATTAAAAGATTAGTAGGTATATAAGGTTCATAATATGATTTATATTGTGATCGTGTATGTTTATAAAATAATCGGTGACGTCCCTCAACCATTTTTCCATAGGGTGCGTACTCGGTATTACAATAATATGATATAGGTAACTTAAAAGACATGTGCATTTACGAGATAAATTTTCTGCTGTTAGATTCCAACCCCCCTGGAGTGATAATATTAAGTGCGTGCAGTAAGTGATATAACGTTCTCGCCGTGCAGTCGGATAAAAAAGTGTCTAAAAAATTAAATAATTAAGATAAAAAAAAGAAGTTAAGGAAGAGGAAAACAATTCCCCCCCCCCGCTCCCAGAGAAGGCCCATGCATCTCTTTAGACTATGTAAAATGTACGTAGGAAACAAATGTAAACGATTTATAATTTTCCCTTTTAAATAAAATACTTTTCCTCATAATTACATCCACTATATTATAGATTTAAAAATCAACTATATACAGAGTATTTGGAACTCCCATAAAAGGCCCCTGCATCTCTTTAGACTATACGTAAAATGTACGTTGTAAACGAATGTAAGCAATTTATAATTTTGCTCTATAAATAAAATACTTTTCCTCATGATTACATCCACTGTATTAAAGATTTAAAAATTAACTGAAAACAGATTAATATGGTTTTTATACACATGGTGTGTTTATAGTTACTATATACGTATTGAAGTGATAAATGCGATACCATTAAGATAACCTTCGTATGGTAACATCAGCTGTGTTCAGTGTGAATATATTGTACTGATCGCTGTGACGCTATTACATATTCAATATAGCCACCTACAGATATGTCTAAAGTATAAAATTATTTATATTGTAATAGTACCTAATGTTATTTTATTACATGAAGTACCTAACCCTTAGTTGAGTTAAAAACTTACTAATTTTAATACTATTATTGTTTTCGGATTCGGCTACAAAATTGCATATAACCATAGATATATACAACAAACTAGATAGCCGCTAGCTGTCTTTATACTACAGTTGTGAATAATGTTGAAATCGGCAGCCATTTATAAAATAGGCAATGTTTACATTTATTTTACATTTATTTATGTACATATATATTTATCTATACATATAATATACTGTGATAATATTATTTTGTAAACATTGCCTGCTTTGTAAATGGCGGCTGACTTCGGTGACAAGAAGGAGACGGCTATCTAGTTGTTGAATATATCTATGCATATACCTAACCTATATGGACAACGGACACGTCATACTGCGAGTTTTTTTGGTAGTCACCCCTGATCCTTATGACGATTCGGGTTCATCGAAATAATGGATTCATTTGCGAAACGCGTTAATGACCTACGACGAATATTATTTTTATTATTATTATGAGGCTGAATTGCGTACCACACTTCGCACTTGCCGAAATAAAATATATAATACGCATATGGTATACCTGACAGGCTTACGTTTCTCGCATACTACGAGGGCAGCACAACAATAACACACACGTCATCATCGGTCATATTCGAGGGTATTATAGTCACGTACAAGATGTAGTTACCTATTAGTTATTACAAACACACAATATATTATGAGAACATGATATTTTCTTGAAATCATTTTTTTTTCAAGTTTGCACCATTATACCTGTTAATTTTATCCGTTTTAATTAATTAATAACGGTGAACTTTATACGTATTTAGCTATTTGTATGAATATTGATTGTATGTCACCGTTTAAAAAAAAATACATACCAAAAAACGTATTTTATAGCACAATATAAGTACAGAACATATATTTAATATAAAGCTTACCGAAATGTTTTCATTTTTATATCCCTGTTTGTCATTAGTTAATATAATACACCTAGGTATATGTATATACATACATTTTTAAAATATTTCCTGTTTAATAGATATAGGTATTTGGTTTGATTATACAATGCAAACTATATTCGCATTTCACTTTTTAATAATTTTCCAACTCATCTAATATTTTTAATTTTATAATAAAATGTTATCAATAAATGCATGTTTTATTGCTTAAATAGGTATAGTGTTTAATTTTTTATACAAATAAGTGACATAAATTGACGATTAAAAATCACTGAATTAAAGTTACTCACGATGTTCTAATAAAATAAATAATAATTCAGTCTCATTTGTGGCTTACAGGAAAATAATTATTCAATAGTTAACAAAGTATAGGTAACTAGGCAAGTATACTTATAATATATATGTTTAAATTAAAATACATAGTTAAAATTAACTTTATGTTTTCAATTCTAACTTGGAACAACACAAATATGACCTTAACAATATATGTATAATATTAATTTAAGAAATGTGCCAAAATCGTTGTTAAAAATGTAATTACTTATTATTTGCATTGCATGACCAACTTGTGCTTATAAAATGTATGTATTTCAAATATTATTTAGGTTAACGCCAATTTCAGTTAAATTTGTAGTGAATGTAAAACAACATGTTGTTAAAACCCCATTTCATCACATACGGTTTAAAAAATGGTTTGACATAGATTATTATTTTTAACATGTCCGGCACTCCGGCTTAGTCTTACTGATAACAGAGGTTAGGTTATTATTAAATTTGTATGTAACTACAAAATTATCATATTTTATGTATTGCCTGATTATTTTTTTAATGTTAAAGATATGTCTAGACTTTTATCTATTTTGAATAATCGTAAAAACTGAGGAATTTTGATAATATATCAAAAACCAGATTTAACATTCCATTTAAGCAAAAATTGATAACATATGTCAAAAGCATGTAGTTATATTTATATTGCAGTATATAGGTACTGTACATTATTCTACAATCTATTATAAAATAACTTAATTTAAAATGTACGCCAATCCAATGTTTATATTATTACCTACCAGATTTTTCTTTTTTTTTTATAATTAATATATTATTTCTTTGTATATATATTTAGAGTATTTAGATATTTCGTTAATTGTAAGTTTTATTGAATTATCTAGAATCTAGATGTTGATTAAATCTGTCTAGATTCAATTCAATCAAGCATCTCATTAATTAATAATTCAATGATAAAAAATAACTATTTAAGATACTATATATCTTTTATTATGATTATAAAATATTATATAGAACATGAACAATATTGCGTTAGAAGTTGTCTAACTAGTTTATTTAATTAATTCAAACTTGCCTTGAAGGTATAGTATGTTATACTGATGAAACAAAAATGTATCCACAGAGAATTATTATATAAATGAATGTGTTTTATGTCTAATGTCTCTACAACAATACTTTATTTTTACCAAACCGATTAATACTTATATAAAATATACGTAAAAGTAAGAACGAGTAAGGTTAAAATAAAAAGTAATTTTAAAATGTATATAATTTGTTAGGTATACAGCTAAAGTTAAGCAAATTTAAGAAGTTAAATTAGTTAGGTAAACTAATATTTAAAAAAAAATATTTATAGTAAAATATACATTTATATATATATATAGATTTTCATTCAGTAATTAATTGCATGAAGAAATAATGATACAACAAGTGAACCATGGATGCTGTTTAATTTTAATTTTTAGAGGTCATGATAAAATTAAAATACTATAAAATATAAAAATTATAGAAAGACAAAATGTATATATTTATTTAAATAGTTATAACATATAATTGTATCATAATCTCTCATTATTTTAATTATAATCGTTTTTCTTTTCAAAGAAACAATTAGTTGAAACTGTATTTGCTTTTTAAGTCCAATGTTTTATATTTATCAAGGTTTATTGCGTCTAACAGCTCAAGAAAAAATAAACATTTTTCGAGTAGTATCGAATATCGATATAGAAAATTGTCACTGTCTTTAAAAGTAACACGAATACTGTTAAGTACTCAAGTTTACTTGCCTAATTTAAATGTTTAAAAAGTAAATTAAGTAACCTACGCATCTATAAATATCGTAAAAATAGATAATATTATAATATAGTTTATAGTTTATACAATGGCAACTGTTTTATTATAGCTTTAATAATTTTTTTATAAATCCCATAAAATTCTTTATAATATTTAAGTAAAAGTACATAACTTTAAATTCATGTACTTAAATAATAAAAATAAAGTATACTGTATACTAAGAAATTAGAATATCTACTCAATTTTTGTTGAGCTCAACGTCTCAATAAACAATTATTAGAATTATTTTAATTCAAGAGGCTTAATAAAATAAAAATAAAAGTTTTTTTAAATATATTATGTAAAAGTACCAATATAGGTAACTTATTTTTTTTTAAACATATTTAAAATAACTTTTTACATTACTTATGTTCAAATGTGTTGTACAATATAACTAATAACTATACATAAAGTGATATAATATTAGTTATTAATGTATTTTTGAAAAATTAAATTAAAAATAAAATCATAAAGAATACAAACATTACCTTGTTATTCGGTTATTCCGTTAAAATTATTCACTTATTTAATATAAATTATAACTATACAATTTGTTATATCTGTTTGGAAAATGTAATACTATCACTATTACAATATATTTTATACCTACTGCTGCGACTAAGTATTTTATGACCTGTCAAAATATTATGTTTTACTTAAATTTAGAGTATAAAATAGTAAAATTACTTGTAATTAAAATATTCGACTTTGGATAAAACTCGGTGTACCTCGATGTAATTTTAAACAACAACAGTTAAAAATATTTCGAAACTCGGTTATATACGTCTACACTTGGTCAACAAAACTCTTGATATGGACCTACAATAAAAATTGAACACTAAAACAAGAATGTTCTTATCGCAGTATCGCACTTCGGTCAATTTAAGTAGAACGATTAAAGTCAAAATTAATTCCGAATAGTTTAGATTTTGTACATAGGTAATAGAATTCTCTGGGAACTACAGACAACCATAGATTACAAACGACTTAGAAACGACTGAATAATGTTCTAATACAGATCAAAACACAAAGTGGTTCTTAACCTTCAGTTCTTATTTACTTACAATACCATATAAATAAATTATTTTCTTCGATAACCTAGTCATTGTTGTTTATTTTCTTATGAAAACTTTTTTTCTACGTTAAAGTTATACAACATAATATATATGTATGTATGTGTATGTATGGGTATGTTAGTTAAAACTTGTATGACTGCATATTAAATTGGGCTATTGTGTAGGTAGGTACTATGAGTTATGCTTATGACTATTCATGCACAAATATTTACATAGAATATTTAACTCACGAAAACAGCCTATTTTTTATGCATTTTTTTTATCTACGTGTAATTAATAATAACGCAAATCACTAATAATGAAAAAAATTTAAAAATAAAACTGAATTAAAACTTCATTCAAATAATGTTTACAATTAGCTACTTAAGTATATTATGACTATAAATTAAAATTTACGATAATTTTTAAAATGTTCTGAGTTTGTTATTCATGCATATAATTATAAATGTGTAAGAAGTAAGAAAAATATAATATTTTAAATGCATTTCCAAAGTGAACAAACAATGGTTTTAAAAATATTAAATCACGAAATAGTTTTATATTTTCTTACTGTATTATTGATATTTATTACACTTAACATATTTATTATACTACAGTTTTTAAAAAAATTTAAATATAAATTCAATAACATACCGTTTTATACCGTGTACCTATTGGCTGTACTTAAAGACGTGAACATAGTGAGAGACTTTTTATAGTCGGTCGACAGTTTTGTACAAATGTACAATCCAATACCGTATTGAGTATTCATTTATGATACAATAACACAAATATGAAATGCAAATTCGTACATTTACTATGTACAATATATTACTTTCACATTAAAATGACAAAATGTCCAAAACTGTAATAGCATTACCTACTAATAGACTATAATAATATATATGCGTTCTTCGTATTTCTATTTAATTGCCATTAATCATTATTATTTATCGTTTATTTTAATTGTGTGAATTAATTCCCAGCTAGAAACAATTATAAGAACATAGTTTTCGAATTAAAATGTTATGAAAGTAAAACTATAAATACATACGATATTTTAATGTCCATAAATATAAATATAAAACATTTTATTTACCTATATAGGTAGGTTGGTATGTACGTATTTGGTTTTTAAAAAAGTCAAAAGATAATAATTGTTATTAAAACAAATAAATAAGTTATTATTTTAAATATTTTTTAAATTGCAATAATATTTTTTTCTTTTAACTTAAATTACTATTACTACTTAACCTATTACGTCATATTTAATTTTGTGTTATACTTATAACTTATAGCCGTTATAGGTCTGTTACCACGGAAGTAAATTTAAATATTAGTGATCCTTGAAATGTGTTTCCACACATTGGTGAAGCCTACCATCTATAGTATAGGTATACACGCTCTATTTACCCTAAGTATGTAAGAATTAAGAAAACATATCTCCATCACAACATCCTGTAGTGACTGTACTCTGTACAGATTTTAAGTCCTTGAAGATAGACGGTAAAGTTGTTTGTATTATCTTCACACTTAATAAATCTCACAATCCAGGAAGTTATTGGAAATATAATTGTCACTCCTGTAAATATTTTAATGCATTTGCAAATACTCACCATGACCAAGTACTTATATTTAAATTTAAATAAATATAGTATGTTATACCACACATGTTATTTACTTTTTAAATATACTTAAGTATTATTTGTAGTAAAATATTCATATTTTATTTCATACATCTGAAATTTGTTTACTAAAAATACCTAATACCTAAGCACCAATATTTTTAATTTGTTATTGTTTCCATCACATTAAATTTAATTAAATATAAAATTCCCCGAGTAGTTTTCTTATGAATTTTAGTACCTAATGCATGTATGAGTAATAAGGCTATTAACTAATTATACAAATAATATAAACTTAAATAATACTGAACACGTATTCATTATTTAAAATTGTATTATTATTTATTAACATCAACCAATTGGTACCAGGTACCTATGCTACATGATACCTATTATCATATTTTATTGTATTTAAATCATAATTTAACTATATAAATATAGCAAGTACCTATTATCATGATAATAAAAAAATAATAATAAAATATAATAAAATAATAATAATAATATTTAAAAATAATAAAAAAATATTTGTGAAATAGGAACTTTCTTTATAAGTATATTATATTATTTATTAAAAATATAATATAAAAAGAAATTTCTTAACACATTAAAATTTGTTTTTCTCAATAATATGCATAATAAAAGATAAATATGTACCTAATATGTATAATACTATATGTGTACTATACTACTATATATTATGTATAGTTGTATGAGTTTTATCAGTAAGAATATTATTAGGTATTAATATATTTTAATTTGTTATAAACAATATATAAAACACATAATGTATTAATGTAGGTACACAAGGCTTATCTAAATTAGTTAAATTAATTTTATAAGAATGTCGGTGCACTATTTATTTTCTCTATCTTACCAACGATTAACATAGAAAAATTATATTCAGCAGTGGAGCAGAACCAATATTGAGTCGTAGGCGCCTAAGGCTTTGCTTTTAGTTTTTAAATTTTAATATTTTTACATACCTACTAATAGATTGAAAATATACTAAGTTGCGCGTGATCAAGTGCATCGAAGAAAAAAAACAAATAGTACGAGGACAAAATTGTATTAAAAATATAAATATATATCTAGTATATAATGTAGGTACCTACGTAATATTTTTAACTGTTCTTAAAAACTATGCTTTTATATTTGTAAGTTAAATTGAACAAAACTTTTAACAGTTTTTCTTTGCAGTTATAAATATTAAAACTATTATGATAATAGAATACTGAATAGTAGGTACCTATGCATAATACATATAAAAATAAAATAGACCATCCAAATTAAGTGATCATTAAAAGTATACTTATTTCGTTGCATGTACTTATTTATTTTTCAAGGGTGAAATCTGTTCAGTAAACTTTTTTTTTTTATTATTTTCATCATAATTGTTTTCATTATAATATTACTACGATTGAGAGTTCCTTTCTTGTAACAATGTATAAGTAAATTAAACATAGTCAACTGTCAAATAAAGGTATCACATAAATATATGATAAATAAATAAAAGCCAAGTAAATTTTACTTATATATAGGTATTTAAATTGTGTACTTTAGCATACCTTAATATTCATAATAGTATTCGGGCTGTGTTGCACGTCGATCGGACACTGTTCGGTTGGACTGTAGTTTTCAACGGCACTGTCCGCACAGATATAAACTAGTCAGAAGGCCGTCGGGTCAACTTCCTGCCACTGTTTATTTGTGTTGAACTCATGATTTCGACGGGACTCCAAATAGGTGATTTGAGTTCCGTTAAATAGATTCAATAGGAATGGTACCTAAACGACGAATAAGGAGCAATGGCAGCTTGGGCAAAACCTCAAAGATTAAAGTGGGCATCAGAGGGTTAGCCAGAACCATAATAGCGGTGTACCACATTGCCGACTGCAATAGCCACCAGTAAGCCATCTTCCAGCACGATTCTATGTATAAAAAAAAAGGAAACATAATAAAATACCTATAGTAAAGTAAATATGATAACATATATTAAGATTAATATAACAAAATGTTTAGAATACCTAAATTTTGTAGCTTATGTGTGCATTGAACTAGATAGGTACATGTAAAATCTTTAACAATTACACCAGTGGCGAATACAAGGGGGGCAAAGGGACCTTCACCCCTTTAGGGCTGTATTTTTACATTATTTTTTATTATAATATTAGGCTAAAAAAGGTAATTTAATTTTTTTTAATTCACCCCCCCCCCCTTGGGTGATTTCTGGATTCTTTGCTGAGTTACAGACATAATAACAATTATTATCCATTAAAACTATTTACACAGGTATATGTGTGTTATTTAATAATTCCTATTATTATATTATTACAGAAAATAACATTTTTTTGCATAATTGGCGGATTAACCAACTATATAAGTACCTACTGGCTAATAGGCACTGTAATTTAAGTTGCAAAATTATACTGTATAAATTCTTGTTTGGTCACATAACAATTTAGCACATACAGTGCAGTGGTAAAATTTAAATTATACGAATATTTTACATAATATTTATTTAAAAAAATAGAATATGATGAAAGATAAAAATAACTAATAAGTAAATTATTTTATTTGTTTGATTTAATTTAAAAAATAATTTTAATGTGTTTTTATCTTAACATTTGCTCATAATAACTCACAAATCTAATGGGTACACAAAACTAATAATTAATCGTGGGTTCAAATTTTAATTGTATTATTATTATATAAAATAATTCAAAGATAAGTGGATATACTGTCATACTGGACAGTATACCTATGAGTTTACTGTTTGGAGATCGAAGTACCAAAATGTGATTAAAAATTATAAAAACATTTTATCAATTTGGAATACCTATAGGCTATAGTACAAAATATAATTTTTAACTAATTAGATAAACATAGGTAACACATAGTATATTTAATATTTCTTAATTCCTATATATGCAATTTCAGTAGTTTTACGCTTAATATTACTACCTAGGCAAATACATTTTAAAATTAAATATAGTTAAACCTAGCTGTATAATGTAACGAACAGGCACACAATCACCAAAAGTGTACGTTATGGACAGGGAATTTTAAATATTAATCTTTTTATCGGGGCATTATCATTTTCATATTGTACCTATACGTTCGAGAGAGGTGTCAGCTATATTCAGCAGTGAGGAGTACGTTAAGACAGGTTTCTGAACTGTAGTTAAGTTTTCAATTTAAAACCAATTTTAACTAATCGAAGTCTTTGACCGAACATAATATTATGAGCAGATCAATTATCGGATTATGCCAATATAACCTGGACGTCCGGACAATACCGAACCGTTGGTAATCCTGTGTATAATGCGTATTATATATATATGTCTTTTCAACCTTATGACGAAGCGTCCTTAACCCGTTGAATATCATTATTCATTACAGATTCATTCCACAACCCACGATACATCATCATCATCACGTATGTATGTATGAATAGGTATAGTAAGTAGATACGTCTATTCTTCTAAATATTAAATCATTTCAACATATATAATATATTTAGGTACGTTTAAAATGCAACTCTGTATAATCTCTATATGGCTAGGCACCAAGCACTTTTAGCACGAATAATAAATATAGCCCCTCTCATCGCATTCACTCTGTGAATAATGTCTGGTCACACCACTACTGGATACTACAACTACAGTAATATTATAAAATAAATTCAAGTTAAGAGATTTAAACGATAACCGACTTGAATTAACCACAAAATACGAGTAGGTACATAATTCAAGTCATTTAGAATCATTGCCATAAACTCTGTAAAGGTCCAGGATTCACGATTGAGCGCAAACTTCACAATTGAAATGCGCCAAGTGTGCAATCGTTATGTAATTCAGTCAAGCTAAGTGCAGCTGACAAGGCGAAATAACGGTGATGCGATGCGATGAGTTATTTTCATCCCCATTCGATTTGGGCATGCACTTATTCAGGGTAAAATTTAACGGGTTTAACAGTCCCGTGTTTCCCTATCAGTGCATGGTTTAAAAGGGGTGGCAATAATCATAAGTAACCGGATATATTTCATTATTTCAACTCGTTAAAGATAAAACTAAATTTTATATTTTTATAAGTATTAAAATAAAATAAATTATATACTATATTATACTTAGAGTTTTTAAAAATTTTTCTTAGCATATTACATAAAAAAAAATGTACAATTTTTATGAGATATGTGACTCAATTCTGCGTTGCAGAAATCTCATGGCAATAGTCTAAATACAGACCACTGCACCATGGCCTAACTGCAGTATGCACGGACCCAAGTGCATGGTCTAAAACCGACGAAAAGTTATGTCATCCACGCGTGTCGGTGACCTGGATTACACCAGATTGACGAAGTGTTAAGCAACAAGTGGTATATTATTATTATTATTAATCCGGTCGGACAGCGGCGGCGGTGTAAGTTGGTCGTGGCAAAAGTGAAAGACTGCGGTCGGGTGCTTGTAATAATATAATATTATGCTATAATAATAATATAATAGCTACCTACAACAGTTCAAGGACACACTAGACCAGTCCTTGCCACGGGAGGATTGTCTGCTTGTGTGGACATCATCGAGTTATCAGATATCCCCTCTATTCGCGAAAGTCAACAATATTATAACGTAGGTATAAAATAGGGGGGTAATATAGGGGGGGGCACAAAATACCGGTTGAAAGTGGAAAAACTCGAAAATCTATTTTTTTCATATTAAAACGTGTGTGAATTTTCAATAGGTACTTACGGTATACAGTAGATTTATGTGGTATGTTTGTGATCGAACGTCGTTGAGTTAAGGCGACGACGACGGCGGCGGGAGAGCGCGCCCGGTGCGTTTCGGCCGAAGTCTGCGAAGAGACTGCGCCGGCCGCATGTACCACGCGATGTTACCAGTTCCTATCCGACAAGTCTCACCGGCTCCGACAGTGATGTGCGATGTTGCAATCATTGAATAATATACCTACATATTAGTATTATTATTATATTGTAATATTAAATATAATAATAATCGTCATTGCAGTCATCTGAGACATGCAGGCGCATCGTCGTTTTTATTTATGAGCTATAATATTATATGTGACATATTATTCTATCTGTCTATCTACATTATGTTATAAGACGGAGTTTAAGATATTCGTTGTCACGGTACACAGTCGAGAACAACGAATACATTCACTTAACTTGCAAAAATGTGATTTGTTTCATTAGCAAAATTAAAATTAAAAATATACATATATAAATAAATACATTTTAAGTACATGTTATGCGTTGTTGTTATTCCTTAAATCCAAAATAATTCGTGAAAAGTAGAATTAATTTCTTAATTCTAGATGATATATAATAATAGTTCCATAAGCTCTATAATTCCCGAAATAGTTTGACTCGTTAATAATTCGTTTGTATAATTTGTTGGTAAGTATTTATTATATTATATGCACAACAGGTTACTATATTATAGCTTTTTAAAATGTATGTATCAAGGGTCATAGATTGGCAGATATTATAACTAATTATCTAAAACATAAATAAAATCAAAAATTGTATAGGTACCTATTTAATTTAAATAATTGTATAGAAAGAAGTGATTAGCATTTTGTTATTTGCTCGTCTATTATACATAACCTACCTAATATAATGTAGTACAAAGTGCGTTTAGATATATATAATAATGTATGTACAATTACCGTAAGCTGGATTTAATAGCTGAACTATTAAGTAGTTTTAAATCATTATAGTTTAAAATTAATAAATACAAATACAAATGTGTTCAAATAGAATGATTTTAATGATTTATGTACCGATTTCTTTTAAATGCAAAAGAATACTAGTAAATAATATGTTTAAGTGTTTTTTTGTGTTTGAATCGTGATAATAGAATTTAGTAACTTACCTATCTACTTGTGCAGGATTCACGTGAACAATAAGAGAGGATCGTTCTGTATTAAGTACAGCGAGAGATGTTGCTATAACCTCAGGTCTAGGTTTTATAACTTATATGAAATAGAAAATAGAAAAATATCCATAATTATATACTAATTAGTAATTACAATATAATTTTGTTGAAGTATACTAATATAATAACTAATAAGCATGGCCTTTTAATAAATACAATTAATTAAAAATTGTATAAATTTGGATTTTCTATTAATATTTATTAGTCAAATTGTATGAAGCAGCAATTATTATTGAACAATATGTAGATACATTCAAATAATTTTCGATTAGTTCGATCGTAAGTCATAAGTCAAAACTCGTGTAGTCATGTAGGAATGAACTATATACCTATACTATTATCACAACAAAAACCCTTCGTAAACTACGTGTAAAAATGGCTAAGTAAAAAAAATATAAAATCTTTAAGCACTATAAAGATGTGATATCATGAATAAAATATGCTAAGTGTATTGAATTTAAGTAAACTTATTTTGTTTCAATTATTTATTCACTTGGCTAGGAATTATTTATGAGTTATGTCTGAATTATACTGACTTACAATACGGACAAAAAATGTGATTTTATTATATTTGAATAATATTTTTTTTACAAATTTAATTGTACCTAATTAATAATAATATTATACAGGATGTCCCGTGAGGATATACTCATTAGCCGTAGAGGGGGATCGCCCGATCGCCGTCCAGACAAAAAATGGTTTTTTGCTGTTTTACCAATAAACTAAAAAAATAATTAAAAATCATGAGATTATTCAAAATATGTCGGAATTCAAAATTTAAAAAAAATTAAATTCTATAAAATGGCTATCTTCAATTGTTTCAAAAATATAAAAAATAAAATTTAATTTTTTTACCAAAAAATGTAGTTAAATGAAAAAAATAATAAATGTAGTCCTTGTCTCTGTCAGTATAATAAAAAAAACAGATTTATAATAATATGTTTATTATCTCAGGAGATATCTTAATGGGTAAATCGTCACAGGACAGCACAAAATCATAATTTCTCTTTTTTTATAGTATTCTTAGGTGGCCTCTATGAGCTTTTTTTGGTGTGGTTGTGGGGGGGGGGGGTATGGAAATTGATTGTCAATGATAGCAAGAAAAACATTTATATTTAATATAACTTAAATAGTTAAATAGTTAGACATTTATATTATAATGTCAAGTTTCTTTAGTTTTTTTTTTAATACCAGGAAAAAATGTTATTCATAGATGTTAATATGTTATCATATGCATTACTAAATGAAAAAAAATACTTAAACAGGAAGACAATTTCAAATATCTATAAATACCACAAAATGAGCAATAATATTTTGAAAATTATATCATTTCTAGAAAATCCTGGTGTTTTTGATGAAAATGTCAAGTCTCTACAGTTATTAGTTTTTGAATTACCTACCTAAAACAAAAAATAAAATAAATTGTACCTATCATTGTTACACCAATATTAGATTCATTGCTCCGCTCAAAATCTAAAGCTGTACTTAACTGAAAATTCCCAGTACCACGTTAATTAATAATATAAATAATACCCATGCGACATTATACGACAAGTAGATACTACGTGTGTAATAGGTATTTACTATTTATTAAACGTTTTATCCTAGCCTAATATTGTTCTAAACATAATTTTATTATTATTCTCATTGTAACCGTATTCTATAAGATCGAATTGCTATTTGTAAATGTCTACGTCTATGTCTATGTCTATGTCTATATCTATATGTGTGATGTCTAATGACATAATTTATTTTGTGGAAGTTATCTACTGTAAACAATTAACTATAGAATGTACGTACACGTTTTTGTAAAAATGGGTCCAGTTTAAAGAACATAAGTCATAGACAATAAAACCTACATATTTCATACTAAATAGTAAATATAGGTAAATATAGTACATTAGTACCTATTACGATGTTGAGCCGCGAGCACTGGAGCAGGGCATAACATATTGGCGCAACCAAGGGCAGTATAGCGTATCTGAAATTGGCCGTGATGGATGGTGCCATGGCGGGAGAAGGGTGATTGAAATATATTATTATATTAATTGTTGTGCTATAATCGGCAAACGGCTAACCTATATTCTTTTATTTTAAACGTTTATTTTAAATACACAATCTATAAAATTTATTTTTAATGCAATATTACAAATTACTACATATCAATATACCATTTATTTATTAATTGAAGAAAATACTAATGAACATAACATAGGTACTCATGGTGATATGAGATTATCACTAATAGTTTTTTTTTTAATAGTATGTACTTGGTACTTGTAGCCCATCATTATTTGAAGCTATACCGACTACTGCAAGTCTGCAATCATTCCACTCCACACAAAATGCTACTGTGGTGTATTGCCATTTGCCGTATACTATTACTTCTATAGAATTTTTAGTGTATATAGGTACTCTATAAATGTACGATGACACGTGGGTATATAATATATGTGGCAGTATTATCCCGTGGACTGTACAGTGTACACCATACTAGATTTCAAAAATTTCAAAATTCACATCAAACACAATAATATGTAAGATTATCCACTCCAAAGCCAATGGTAGGGAATCTGACCCCCACGTCCCCCTCTTGTATACGCCACTGATGTGTTTGGTGTATCGAATAGTATCGAACTTAGACTTACTGCCAACACAAATATAAAGATATAAACCATAAATTATAAATAGATATTAAATAGTGTTAACGGATTGTATAATTTAATTATTTACACAATAATAAAAAAAATATTTAGGAAATAAGATATAAAATATACAATATACAAAATATAAAATATAAAATACATATTATATGGATAATCGTACAAGATATAAAATGGTGGGAGCTCGCTATCTAGTACTATATAGAAATCTGTGCCTCAGTCTTCATGATTGTAACCTCAAATCATACATTACTATGTAGTGAACTAGTGAAGTATAGTATGTAAGTCTCGTAAGTCTGTCCCTCAAATATAATTCCCGTGTGATACGGTGTGCATACCCATTCTTTTTTATCTATGCTCTCGACTGTCGTGTACAACTCACTAGTCACTACTCGTACTCGTACCACCGCAGAACAAATTGTACATAATTTATGTATACTGTCTACGAGAAAAAAAAATAAAGATAGTAAATCGTGTTACAGTCTACTCGACGTGTAGTCGTGTGAATGTGTAATATGCGTACCCGTGGCGGTCAGACTGCGCCGTCTGTGATTTGTGTACAAATAACAATCACAATATGAGTGTAGATAACAGAAAACCGATTTAAATATTTAATATTATTATTTATTGCACATTGCTAGTAAAAACTAAAAAGTGCCGGAGTGGAAATTCGTTATTTCAACGTCGGACGTTCAGTCACAGGATAAGTTTCGTTAACGGTAAACACTTGACGTTTCACCCGGTCTCGAGTGTCGAATGTCAACTACTTGAGCGATGCGAATCGTCATCGGACGAAGAATCACACTTAGTTTTCCACCATGTCAAAGTGCAACGTGACCACCGATGTGGTTTAGCTGACAAATATTTTCACAATTTATACAACGTCAAACGTATTTTCAAGACCCGTGGAATGACGAGTTAACGTTTACTCGATTCCTTCTGGCTTCCACCATGTATCTGACAAATATGAGAATATTGAAGGTATTCTCGTCATATAAGTTTCGTTTTTGTATTGGACTTATTGTTGTACTCAGTTTTTGGCAAATATTCAGGGCCATAACAAACAGCAATAAACAGGTAAATTAATCAATATGAATAAATATTATTATAATATTTTTTTTTTTTTATGCACATGGTCAATGTTTATTTTTATGTTATTCGTTTCTCTCGTTAACACAATAAATTCTCCAAATATTCTCACTGATTGAATTTCAATTTCACTATTTTTTTTATAGGTACCATTATAGTTGCATCAAACATAAAACAATGTTAGACGTTTTAATATTTTAATAACTTTACTGTGTTTTAACGAAAACTAAGTATATTGCATATAATACCTACCTGTGTAATTTTCAGAAACTAATTCATTCTTCACGTGCTCTGAACCTTGACAACTCTTTAATGGCTAAGAGTGTAAAAGATATGAAATATCTTCCAGTTGGTGTATACTATGAAGCATTGTGTCCAGATTCAAGGAATTTTATACTTCAGCATTTAGTTCCGTCTTTTAATAAAGCACCAAACAGTTTTGATATTGAATTTGTTCCTTATGGAAAAGCCAAGGTAATCATTGAATGGTAGTTCACTAATAGGATTAGTATTTTGTGACAATATAAATAATAATAAAATACACTTAAAATGTGAAAAACCATAAAAATAAGTATTTATTGTTAAGTGTTATTGTTTATAACAGAAAACAATATTCGACGAAATAAGAGTGACGGCCTATGACTGTGAAAGTGCGAACTGATGTAAAATCTACCTATCTAGAACATATTTTAACAGTTGGCTCTGTAGATAGTATAGGTACTTTGATAAACTCTTAATAAATTAATTAGTTCTAACAAGTACTTCATCGATACCATTGTCTATAAGCAATAATTAAGCAATAAGCATACACATTTAAGTATTTCTTAGTTTAGACTCCATTACCAACCAGTTATTTTAAACATAACATCAAAAATGTGTTATCTTCACAAATATTTATTCATTTATACTGTAAATAAGTACAAAATTATTTTTATGATTTATGAATTAATAATTTAACACAAAATATCTAAAAAAAAGAAAAAAGAAATAAATGATGTTTATTCATTAGCACATAAATTAAATAAAACACATTTGCTTTCTAATCAGAACCATATTGAATAGTAAAAAAAATATTAGTCTGTAGTGTAAAATAATATTGTATGTTTATTATTTAGACACACGAAAATGCTGATGGCTCAATAATATTTGCCTGTCAACACGGACCAGTAGAATGTCATGCAAATAAAATTCATTCATGTGCTACTCAACACATAAAAGATAAAAATGTTTTGGTCAAATATGTATCGTGCATGATTGATAATAACTATGATCCAGAAATGATCGGAATGCTTGTAAGTAAAAAATAAACTCAATGTTTAAAAAATTGATTAAAAAAATTAATAAATGATAAAATGTTTTTTTTTTTTTAGTGTGCCAAAAAATACAATGTTAATTGGAATAAAATTTATACTTGTTCAGAAGGAAAAGAAGGTGAACTATTATTAAAACTAAATGGTGAAGCAACGGACAAACTTTGGCCCCAAGTTTCTTTCATCCCAACAATTTTGATTAACCATGTAATTATTTTTATTTTCTTAAAAAATTATGTTGATTGTTGATAAACATTTTTATTATTTGTTATTAGGAACAACCCAGACAAGCTTCTGTCTTGAAAGATTTTTGGGGTGTCGCTTGCAGTTATTTTCCTCCAGTAAGTCCTTTAAAATATATAATATTCACCTAATTACAATTGATTGCAAATTGTATCATTTTTAAAATAAAATACAGTGGATTCCACCTAGTGTGGGAACCGGCTAATATGGGCATAATGGTCTGGTCCCAATTCCAATGTATACTTACTAAATAGTTATGGTTGACCATATGGTCAACCGCTTAATGTGAACAAATGAGTTTGGTCCTGACATGTCCACGTTAAGTGGAATCCGCTGTATTTAAATGATCACTTATTGTTGCTTAGCACTATAAATTATAATACACAATATTTTTTTTTAGGAATCAAAACCTGCTGCTTGTTAAATATTAATAATCACCAGTTTTTTATATTGACAATGAAGGTAAACAATGTTTTATTAAAAGTTATTAACTTATTATAAGAAAATTTTGTGATATTTAAATTAAACTTTATACTTTTTTATTGTTAATTTTTATTTGTTGTAACCATAATGGAAAAATTATATATATGTGTACTGTATAACATAAACATTATAAACTAAGTATACTATACAAATTGCAAATAAAACTACATTGTATTAAAGTATTATAATTATAATTTGCTTATACTTTTTCCATACGTATTAAAATATAACATGTATTTTCTGTGTACTACTTTACTACTCTACTTTTTTTTATTTATTATTATAATTCTAAATAATTATAACAATATTATAAAACTTCACATTATAATATTTGTAAAAAAAATCTAATTTATAACATTTGTAGGTACATAATTAAGTAATTATAATATAATATCTACATAATATCCATTTCAGACCTTAAAAGTTATAGTGACGCTGTAATTGTGCTATACTTCGAGATACATGTAGTTCGTCCTCAGTATGGGTTTTAAAACATGTATGAGCTTTGCATTTATTTTTTTTGGTTGCGGTATAATAACTGTTGACACATTTTTTTATTTCTTTAACAATATGTTTTTTTCAAATCTTTTTAATTAAATCTACACATATGCATAACAATTACATTTTTGAATACATATTTTATAAAGGTATACAAATGCCAATACACTTGTGAAATACAATTATATAATTTTTGCTTAAATAAGATTTTTATTAATTATAACCTTATTAATACACTTGACATAAACTGTCAATACAGATTCCACTATTTGAGTATATACCAGTGAGACAGATATTTACACAAAATATTTACTAAATGCTTTGCATACGAATAAAAAATACTTGATAATTAATATAATACCACAGATATAAAATATTTATAGGTATTAGGTATTTTATATCTGTGTATAATACTTAATATTGATACTTTATTGGACATTGGGCAATGTTGTGTATATTTATTATAGTGCCTCTGTAACGCAAAAAATTAAATATTAACTGTTGATAATATTTTAAAAATATTATAATAGTTTCAAACTCCAAATATGTTGGAATATATTATTTGTACTCAAATATAATATTACACCTAAGCATAGTGCTTATATAGTTTATACAGTGTTGTGACTTGTGATGGACTTAAACAGGGTATTTAATATATTTTAATTTTAATATTTTATACTCAATTAATAATTATAATCTTCAAGTATACTTTGAATTATTAAATAAAAATATATTATTAAATAAACATTTTTGTGTGGTCAACAAATATTTTATTATTTAAATTAAGGAGATTATCTGTTAATTAAACTAAATTAATTAAACATAAATTTTCTATAAAATTTGGAGATTCATTTGACAATTAATTTCTTTGTGCAGCTTGTGAATATGTACCGTGATTGCACAAGCACACACCCTGACTTGTATGTTTCCCTAATTTATTTATATTTTGAATATGCATAAGCAATCAATATAAATGTAGGCTGGCAATATTAGTTAATAACTATTCCCTGACCAATATGTCTATTATAGTATGATACCTATTACCGTGGAATATTCTGTGCTGTTTCTTTGTATTTCAATTTCATATATATATTTAGTTGGATAGATAGTAGATACCACTTCACTGTAAATCTTTTAAAGTCTGATAATTTATATCCAAAATATTCACATATTTAAATATTATAATAACAATACGTTTATTTTTTATAATATAAACTGATTAAATGTCAATTATGTTTGTATAATATTTGTGTATACTTTGTCCTGACGCTGAAAATATTGGAGTTTAAAAAATAATATTCCTAAAAATTTAAATATCAGTGTACGGTTTTTACTTGTTTATGAAATAATGCTTATAGAAGACGCTGACGAAAACAAAAACTTAGCGCCGACCAAATTGTAGTGCATTTATTAACAAGGTACATGGCACCAATTTGCAATTCAGCATATGCAATCTATGTAAAATGACGCCATTTGGCGTCATCTGCAGTGAATGTGTTAAGATAAAATTAGTATTACCTTATTAATATTTATTTTAATAATTTATTTTAATCTATATAAATATATAAGTAGTATAGCATAATTTTAATGGTATAGGAAAAATTAATAACATGTTTTTATGCCACATATGCGACAGAACACACCCGATTTTCACCAAATCCTTAAGCTATGTGCAGTACGCTATAGTGTTACTATATTTAACATACAAATTTAAACTTCTTTTGAAAACAAACATATTTAATATTTGAATTAGGAAACAATGCAATTAAATAATATAGTTAGATCTTGTGTAAAATGTCTATGTATAGCACCCATTATTTTAAATATTATTAATTATACATTTTTCAATATAAACTATAATATATGTTTAAAAATAATAAATCATATTTTGTGAAAACTTAAATAATAATACAATACAATTTTTAACCTTCTTGTTTGAACGTTTTGGCAAAAATAAATTATAAATATAATCGGAAAACAAATAGTTGGTAATTTATTGATATATATATATTTGTATTTAAGTCTTTAAGTCTATAAATTATGTATCATATAAAATTAATATGAATATAATTTTGATGATTGTGATAATGTTAAATAATAGACAATGAAATTAATAATTAGTAGATATTTACTATAGTTTCCTAAAATATTTCTACATAATATTATAGTTCCTCTACTCTGCTCTCTGTAGTTGCAGTTAATTATGATAAACATTTAGTTACCTATAGTAAATTGTTTGAATTAACATACATGATCCAATCATAGGTAAATATAAAGGGATTAGAATGATTAGATATTTAAGTCAGATAAGTATCGAGTTAATATATAGGTATTCCACTATTTATTAAAATATTCTGTTAGTTATGTAACTTAGGTATGATTGTATGAATATTGAATAGTGCAATATTGTGATCAGAGCTGGCGCAAGGGGTGTGCAGGAAATGCGACTGCCCATGGCCTAGTGCGTTTTTATTGGCCTTGCTTTTATAAATTGCACAGGGACCCTTAAATCATAGTGCCGGCACTGATTGTGATATTATATAGATAAGTTTAATTTTTATTATATAATCCTTTTATATTTTAATATGCTATATCAATGAATAAGTATTATCTTTTTTAAATAAAAAATACATTATTTTGTAATTCAAAACATTGTGGTTGTAATATTTTCTAGAATTTAAACCTGTACGACAAGAAACATTTAATATACCATATTAAATAGTACCTATTAAACGATATTATAGTATTATAGTATTACGATATTAAATAGTTTGTGTAATTAGTGATACATTGACTTATTTAATAATTATTTGCTAATGTAAGGTAAGTACATTTATTTAATAAATTATGAACATATATTAAGTTAAACTATTAATATTTTTGTGAAAAAAAATTAGTTGAAATATTACTAATAGATAAATATGTAAATACATTAAAATATTATATATTATTTTGATAGGTAAGTATATTCTATGATATTATCATAAAAAATTATGAGTTTTAGTTTTGTTTAATATTCATTATTCCGTTATTCAGATAAATGGTTATAATATTTTAGTTTTTTCTTTTATTATTCATTTATTATTATTATTAATAATAATTAGATAATAATAATATATAATATGTTGCTTTACACACAACAAAACAATTTAAATCAAAAAATATTTTGTTTTAACTAACTATATAATATTGTTGAAATTATTATTATTATTGTTTTTATTTTTGTAAAATTAATAATTGATTACTTACAGTGTCAGTCCATTGAAATATATTACCCTTACATTATAATCATTCATCACATACCAATTATTTATAAACTATAAATTACAATTAATAAAAGTTTTAGGAAAATAATTAAAAATAGGGCTGAGTAGGTGAGTAGTTACGGTAGAGTAAATTTTTACTTGACATGATACATTTAGGTTTTAACTTTTATTAACTTAATAAATAAATTCTATAATAAAGAACCTTTACTCAATTAAAATTTGAAACCTATTCGGCTATAGGTACCTAATCAATTGACAGTTTTACTAAAAAATACTAGATTGGTTTTTGTTCATCAGATCTTAAATATTCTTCAAAAATGTATGATAATAAATTATTGTATGATTTTTATTTTTATTCTATGGTTAGAATTTATGAATTAACTAATAAATTTTATTTTTATCTAATTTCGTCAGGGTTAGAAAACAATAGCATAAGGTATAGGGCGGTACGTATTTTATTGTTTTATGAATGAACTATTTGTAACTTTAACATATTTTTTTATAAATTTAAAATTTTTTTCAAAAACATTCTGTATAGTTTGAGGACAAACATACTGAATAGGTTTGGAAATTTTTTGAAATATTTATAGAAATTAATTTTTCAGTTTAGTGGACGGAGAAAAGTCTACTCAGATATTTTTGATTTATAATAGGTATTAAGTCGATATTTTTGAACTGGAACCCAATATTTATAGTATATTTTATAAAATAAAACATACCAATAATACGATTGATTTTTAAATTAGGTACCTATCATTAGCTGTAGTGTAATTCGTGTATGTTAAATCTTTATAGTATAGGTACTTAATCGATATTATCTATGTATAATAATATATACTAAGATAATCTTATTTAACTTAAAAAATTGACTGGATAAAATTAGCATAATATTATATATGTTATAAATATAAACGGTAGATACGCTTGATAGCTTAATAAAGTAAATTCATAACAATATAGGTACTGGAGACAATATTCATATTACGTATAGGTACTGGATCACAATTAATATTCAAAACATCAATACTGATTATCCCATCTTTGGTCGATATACTTTATATAATTTATATAGTAATATAATATAATATATTATAATAGGTAACTCAATCGTAAAATAATAATCATGATAAACAACAATAAATTATAGAAAAAAAAAAAAAGGAATATTGGTATTATTATAGGGACGAGCGGATACTCATAAAATATAGAATACCGAGATGTCTGACAACCAAAAAAAAAAAAAATAGAATCAATAATACACACAAACGTCTTGTTCACTATATATTAAATAGGTAGATAGTGTTTTTTTTTTTTATAAGATCGACGCTTCTTCGTCCGGTATGTTCGTCAGATACGGATCGTTGTCCCAATAATACCGCGGAGATCCTTCCGACACGCAGATCTGTTGTTCCAGAGGTTCGGTGCCCTCCACCCAGTACATAATGTAAAAATTGCACATTTCGTCGTCGCTCGTCGCGCTGTGAACGAATCAAATATACAACCACCGGAGGATTAACCACAGTCACTGGATCATATTATATTATATAGATAGGTATTTAATGAGTCGTGTCGATCTTACCCAATTCTTGTAACGGTGTTTCGCCTGCTTTCCATTGTGCACCTGGCAGCCTATAGACAATACACATCATTACACCGAACGTTCAAAGTGTATATATATATATATAGTATATATTTAATAGAGGTATAGACTATATTGTAGTGATATTATCGCCTAGCGGTAATTGGTATCAAACGGTACTATTGCTGTGGTAATGTGTGGTATGATATTATTATGAAGTTCAATTAATCATTCAACGACCCGAAATTCCTACGGTAATATATTTTTAAGCCTATTATGATATAATCGTTTATTCGTTTTCAGATTATTACAATATCAAAACTTGTGCGTAGGTAAACTAAAATGTTGAATATATCATATATGTACTAGGTACTACAATACTAATATATAGTTAGTATAATTATTCGAAATCGTTTTATTATTTGATCTTAACAATTAGCCACCGCGTGGCGGTTAGGTACCTACATATAGTAAACCACATAAATAGGAAATCGACTTTCAAAAACTACTAACCAATATATCACCAGACTCGACGGTAATATTGTTCTCTATTGGGTAAAACATTTGTGGAGTCATGGGGTCTCTTTTTCCTAGCAGATCCCATTTTTGTACATCTTTGTTGATATTCTTTACTCTGTAACCGGCTACAACTTTACCTATTGAAAGCAAAAAGTCGACAGTTATTGTTGTGATGTAGGTAGGTACTTATGTATTTTTAACATAAACATAAAATGTGTACGAAGCACACGTTGTGTAACACATACCAAGTTCGTGGGTGTGGACCCTGTAAGCAAACGGATGTATGACTTTCCCAATCTCGTAGAGAGGACACGATGTTTCCATGTGTTCGATCGCATTCGGGGGGATTCTTCCGTTTGTAGCTAGTAAGTATACTCCAGCTTGTTTGTCTAATCTGTAGGAATAAAAAAAAAATGTACTAGCCGTTAGTAGAACTTTAATAAAATATAATTAAAAATAATAGGAGGGACTAAATATTAATTAGTATTATTTAGCTATAGGTCTTTAGTAATAAACACCGAATGCCAAGTGATATTTTATGACTCATAAATTAGTTAGTAGTTATATATTGTGCATTTAGGAATGACTTTTTTTATTTACGTTTGGAGTTTAAAAAAATTTGACAAGATTCGACAAAATCACGAAAATTTGCAAATTATTTTCTAGTTAAAAATGTATAAAATGTTTGATTTTTATGTAGTTAAGGGTAAAATAAAATTGAATACAAATCCGAATAAGCAGTTCATATACTGGAACCAATATAAAAATAAATAAACACAATTTTTTTTAATAAATATTTTAAGTTCAAATCTGGAAAAAATTAGATATAGGTATTTAAACATCGAATAACGATTTTAGTTACCTATTTATTGTTTTAAATATTTATTAATATATTATTAAAATAATAATATATATTAATATTGCCTATTTATATACCACAAAATATATTCACACCGTTTTCCAAGGTAAGTCGTTGCCGACTCAAAAGTTAATAACAATAAAAGGTAGGTATGTCGTTCAGATGTGTAATAAAGGATTTCAATGGGCGTAAAAGAAAATATTCGATTATCTTACTGTTGTTCTGTGTAATGCAAATATATCCCAGAGTTGTCCGTTTCATCATCTGTAAAGTAAATAAATTGTACACGAAAATTAGAAAACAACCAACTTAGCATTACGGTGTCGTATAATTAAGGCCAAACGTTTGTTGTTTAAACATTTAGGATAAATTTTATAGGAACTCGCATCAGTGGCGTGCTAGGATTTTTGACTGGGGGATAGAGGTATGAGTTTTTGACAATTACCACATTGTATAGTGGTAAATATACTTTCATTGCTTTATCATATATTTTATACGACAGAAATAATCTAAGGGGGACATCCTCTCCCCCATGAGCATGCCCCTGGTACTCATACTCAACTATGGTCGAGTAATATAAATGAAATTCGAGAGATTTTAATTCTGTTCCGCACGTCATATTTATAATGCAACTAACCTTTAAACATCCTGTGGTAGTGAACCTGTAAAACTAAATAATTGATCTGCGAATCACCACCGACTTTAAACCCAACACCATTCGGAAGTTTCAAAATTGGTGCATCACGAGCCCATGCGTACATTATCTGAAAAAAATGATAAATTATATTATTATGTATTTAGGAAAATATTTAGTGGAAATAGTGAACACTAACATTAGATCCTGATTTGCATGGGTTGGAATGCATGTACGACTTATGTTTACTAGATGCCATTTGCATTTCTCCACAATTCCTTCAAAATTAAAAAATCAATTATTATTATTGATAATATTAAAATAATAATTTAAAAGAAGCTCGGAGGACGTTGTTATTACCAAACGGGATCTTCGCTTCCGGGCTCTGAACACCCATAAAGTATCATATGGTGTGATGTATGACCATGTGCTTTTGGCTCGAAACCGACTAAAAAAAAAAATTAATAAAATTCATTTTACTGCAGCTACATTGCACAACAGGTAGGTATATGAAACATATATAATGACTTTAACATTTTTAAGCTACGGAAAAATATTTTCCGAAATAGATTCAATTAAAAAATAATTAATATGATGTAAGTACCAATAGGCAATATTTAGGTATAGGTATTAGGTACTATATAACATATTGGCATCCGACATATACCTATGAGTAACTTTTAGATATAAACGTAAATGCAGATTGGTTGATAATACCAATATTAAATAATAAAGAAATACGAGTATTTTATTTCATGCGAACAAGTAAAATTAAATAAAACTATTATTGTTTTTTGTTAAAATTGTTACACTTACCAATAAAGTAAGACTTGCTTGGGTCTATTCTAATAGGAGTGCACAAATACAAGTCCATCTACAAAAATATAAATAGTTGTTAATTTTTCATATTTATTAAATCTTCAGTAATAAAATAAGTAAGCCAACGTCATAAACTCATAGATACTATTTTTAATTATCAAATTGATTGATAATATTGTTAAACCTTTATTAATTTAATAATTTTTATTATATTGCCAATATAAATTCTTAATTTGCTAAACTCCATAACTTATATTGTTTTTATATTTTTATATAGGTACCTACCTACTAAGTAATAAAATTCGGGTCACTATAATTGTTTTACCTGAATTATATATAGTTTATTGAGTTTAATAATTTAACTTACAATTGAAATAATTATTATGCATAAATAAGTTTACCTACTGTTGACATAATAATATTATATAAAAATACATAATACATACCTATATTATACATTTATACTATGTATGTTTATAATAACATGTTTTTACCATCTACTTGTTAATACAATATTATGAGGGTGTCCTCCTTCGTCTGAGTAAAACATAATATGCACAAATGTACAATAAATAGGTAGTACCTATTATACTGTTTACACCTATACGTTTATATATTATTGTCATGGGGGTATATACCATATATAATATAACAAGATATTACATGTAACGAGACATAAAAAACAATGTTTACTGTAATGTTTTGTCGTTTTGGCTTTTTACTCGATACAGAACATAAATGAATACACCTATCAGTGAATATTTTATAGGTTATTCGTTTCTGAGTTCTAACATTTATATTTATAAAGTTAAGTAAATTGGTATCGGTTACTACGCGTCTACGCCCAGTTTTATTTTAAAAAATATTCTCTACACCAGTCCACACTGAGGTAACAATAAAAAAAATGCTAATAGGTAATACCGTTATGTTCTGGTCATGAAGTCTTGAATGTTAAATTTATCAGAGAATCTATATTCAAGAATCTGTGACATTCGACGACGATCAGTCGTCACGCCCGGAACGAGGAAATACAAAGTATAAACACTTCAAATATCTTAGTATAATATACGACATATACGTCTTTGTATAACGTTACTTGGAATTATAGTTTTGAAAGGAGGTTTGTTTTTTTCAAATATTTGAAAACGAATTATATTCAAGTGGGTATAATATATAGTGGACAGTGGTAAACGTCAATATTAACAATAATATTACTAAACATAAATTGACACAGAAGTAATAATGCGGTAAATTAGGCGTATATATTATAACACTGTAAAACCTCATTTTAAAAATAAATGCAGTGCAATACAAATATTGGATTACTCCGTGCAAACGTATCTCATGTAGAAAATAGTTCCAAACCTGGTTAGGTTTATCTAAAAAAAGGTCAATATTCGGTTAAAATCGAGGTGGCATTAAATTTTATCTATCATCATTGTTTTGCTGTTTGTGTGATTTTCCCTAAGATAACTGCTGAGCAATTTGAAATAATCGTTTGGAGGTTTTACTGTCGCTGTTTAGTTTGATATTTATTGAGGCCCAAAGGATACATTAAACTTTTAGAGCTTTTACAGTGATGCTAAAAGCAAAAGTATTGACGTACAGTTGATAATCGTTTTTACTTTTTCTCGTAGTCCTACCACTCCAACAACAGCTGGTTGAGCTCCTACTCGTACAATTTTTTTTATTTATACTTCAAGCCAAAGTAAATTATTGGTATATTGAATACCCAATGATCATTATATAATAGCCTATTATTATTTTTGGCATTGTCGTATAAACTGATAAATTTAGACGTACACAAATAAATGAACAAATAATGTTATAAGTATTCGGAGCCTGGCGTGGCTAGGTGGTTGGCCTCAGTCACTAACATGTTCTGAGTTCAAAGTTCACCCCGTTGCTAGATGGGTGACCACCCGGGGTTTTAGTGATGAATCCTCACCCTACATAGGGTGTTCCTCAACTTACCGTAACCCCCCTACAAAATGCTAATGTGGTCATATAGTGTTTCCTACCGAAGCTTAAGATCAATAAAAAATAATATTATACGCACTTAAAATATTATTCAATAGTGATCGTGACATACGAACACCACACCTGACCCGATTTTTCTGTCCTAGCATAGGTAATAGGTATTCTTTATTATCCTAAAATTTAACCTAATGAAATCGTACTTATTGACTACGCGTCAAATCATACTAATTGTTATTTTATTAGGTACGTAAATGTTATTTTAACTTAGTTTTGACAAATGTATTTGTATATGCTGTTACTCAGTTTAGTGAATAATACAGTACTTATATAATTTGTTTTGAATTTTACTTATTACCTATGATAGTTTCCTTAACCTAGTTTTTTAAGTAATAAAACCTTTTTATGTAGACACCAATCTCAAAGCTATATTTAATGACAAACGTAGCATGCTTGATACTAGAGATTTTCCACTTTGAAGAAAATGTATGAATCATAAATATATATTTATTAATAATAGTAACCATAAATTGTTTATAATATACCTAGTGGGAATTAGGTAGTTTCTACAAAGCTTTACTCAAAATCGGTTAGAAAATAAAAATATCAGCCCAAAAACATATTTATGTTAATATTTCTTAGTGGTACATAATTTAATTTATACATATCTTAAAAGCTTAATACAACAATGGGAATATAATAATATTATAATAAAATATAATATATATATAGCCATAAACGTATAAGGTAATAATATATGCATTTTAGCGTTTGCATGCATATATTATAATATAATGGTAATTTACTTGTATTCGTGAAAACAGCATAATATGCTATTATACGATATACCATTAATATATTATTATGTAGGTTTAAAGTTAAGTTTAGCGGAGTACTATTGTGATTTAAACGAAAATGGACATATGATAATTATTATAGTCATCGCAGACTGCAAACACTGAAACGCTACCCCGTCGAATCCTATATATATATAATATCCATTTACAGTTAAACGTCACTTCAGTGCTCTTCTACAATATTATGCAGATCCGTGCCTAGGTAACTTAATAGGGGTTGCTGGTATCACTGGACGGTTTTTCTCTTCAAAAGTAGGTATAGCATTATTCATTTTTATTGTACGCATTAAAAATGTATCTTATTTTCTTATTCTGCTAAAGCTCAGACTATATATACAACACGGATAGTAAAATATAAATATTTAAAAAAAATCCTTATAAATTATAACGTAGGTACCTATGCATGTCTGACGCAATGCGATCGTCTGATATCGGTGCATAATATAATATAATAGAATATTATGTAGGTATAAGCAATAATTGCAGCACGACAGTATATAATAATATAATATACATACAGCCACACAGACAACAGAATATTTTATTAGATGGATAATTATTGTGATATTGTTTATTATAATATTATGTTTGATGTGAAATCAGTGGGCAACATTTAAGCGTACCTATATAGTTATTACTTATCAATATATTTCTCAGATAGAGCCCGAGAGGTGGGCACTAGTCGTACAACACATAATTTAAAAATTTCGTTCGTATAAATATAAACCAGCATGCTTCTATACTCTACAAGATATTTTTTCCTCTGCAAGGAAAATTGAGAAATCGTAGATAAGTTTTTGGGTATAGTGCAGTTGAAATATATCTACCAATTATTTAGTAGCAATGTAACATGCTAAATTTTGTTAGGAATTCAACTAAATCATTTGGTTTTTATTGTTGATCTGCGTACCTATGGCGGATACATTTGGCGTTATAAAATCGGTTGGAAAAAAATAAGTGTTTCCCAGCCCAAAACATATAAATATTATAATACGCTTATTTGTATATTTTATAATTTTTATTATCATTATGATTTTTGAAGTTAAACCGTATCTTAGCATAGGTACCAAGGGAGCCCATTAGGGGGTGCAAGGAGGTGACATATCACCCCTAGACCAATGTGATAATATCAAGTATGACAATATAATATAAGTAGGTAATGTATGATATTAATGTATTATAAATTATAAATTATAATATAAATATGCGAGCCACCACGAAAATACGGATGAGATGGATCGTACTAAATTAACCTATAGATACGCTGCAGTCGAATCGTACAGGTTCCCGGTCACACGCATTGGCTATACATAATAGAAGGTACCTATATTATATATATTGTATTATTGTATAATATAATAATACATTCGTGTCGCAACGTATTACGTCTATGTATATATAATATATATACATCTATATATACAGAGTGTCTCAGTGTGACAGAAACACCTGACAAATAAAATAACTTTTCTTCTAAATTATAATCAAAATGTAAACATTATTTTTAAAATAATTTTTAGATGTTTGGGCTACAAAAAAAGTATAACATATTTTTTTTTTTAATACGGAAAATAATCTTTTTTAATTTTATTACAATTTGTTTGCAAAAATTCGAAACTGCCCGCAATTTGTAAATCTAATTTTTAGACAAATGTTGATGGTAAAGACGTTTATTTAAGTAAGATAGCTTATTTTGTAAATTTTTTTAAAATATCAATAGAGGTAGTAAATAATAATATTTACATTAATATTCGGAGTAAATTCATTTGGAGCGTAATATTCTTTTAGGAATTTCAGGATAAGTATATTTCTTTAGTCATTTATTGTCCATAACATTGTCATAATTTCACACGTTTAACTAGTTTCAATTTTTTTGTTTCTTTAATGTTGTTTCTCAGGTGCTTCTGTTACACTCTGTATACAATATATAATATATATTATAATATTATTCACCATGAATGGCAATGGAAGTGTGCGATGGTCGGACTGCGTGCTGTGTGTCACGCATATACCCGGAGCACCTACAATACGGGACCCCCTCTCATCGTGACTGTCTATGCTATAGTAATATTATCGTCCCATAATAATTGACGTACAACGGTGAAAAATAATTACGTAGGTAACAAAGCTGACCGTAAAACAATCCGATGGTGCGACGAAATGCTTGATGAAACAAAACACGGCGCAACTGGTTTTATTCGAACGAACACCTTATTTACTCTGATTTACACTAATAATTATGTAGGTAGCCTATAACTATAAGTACGCTAAATATCGAATGTTTATCATAATATTATATCATCGACTTTGTTGGTATAGTAAAATCAACTATATTATATGGCATGAAAAATAAATCGCGTGGGAAGACATGGCGAGGGACGCTTCCCCACCCCCTCCCCTAAAAACTCACCCTTCGTGGTGCCACGAACTCTGTTTTATTTTTTACACAGATTCTATATAATATATAGTATAGCAGTTGAGCAGTAATCCTTCAACAATATTAATTTATATTATATATATTAATATTATTATATATTTCGTTGGGTACCTTACTGCTGGAGAACAAATGAGTGAGGTCGTCGAAAAATATGTAGCCTACGTAGGTACATTGAAAACAAGGCGCAGTCTTGTAAAGTATTCGAATAAAAATATTTGAATACTTTTTTGTATTTTTTATTCATTATAAAAATACTTTTTACCAATCTGAAAAATAGTTTTAAATTTGTGACAAAGACATATTATAAATCATGAACATTAATTTTATTCTTTGAACGAAGTATAATATTTTCCCATGATATGATTATTTTTATTAGCAGCAATGACTTGCAGTATACTTGTATCGGCCGTATCATATGTGGTCAAAATGTATAAATAACTTATGATTACGATGTATTTTTAATTATTAATTAATAAAATAATGTTAATTATCAACCATTCAAAAACTGACAAAAACTAGTTGTGAAAATGTGAAAAAAAGTATTCGAAATGTTTTCTGAATACAAAATAAAAGTATTCTTTACAAGACTGAGTCAAGGTGTCATAAAAACCGTCGCCAAAAAACCGACCTATATCGTCGATACTACTTAATCGATGATACGTTTGTTGTATCCATCTTGCAAGGCATATATTACATTTTCGTTTACTATATAGTTTCAACAGTGTGCTGTAAGTTATGTCATTAGAGTGAATATTAACTTATTATCAGACTTTTAGGCAAGAACATTTTCTGTGCTTGAGGGTCGGCAATATTTTCGAAAAATTTTAATTTTCAAACAAGAAATGGCTTATTTATTATAATTATACTATAAAGTATGTGTATAGTATATATTATAACAATTTTTATAAACTTTTCTAGTTTATTATTCGTGTTATTATAAAGTATTAACTTATTCAGGTAACATTTTAGATTCAAAGCGTAGCGATGAATGTATTGATTTTAGAATGATGTGTGTGTTTTTGGGACAATAAAAATGCTTCGATTTTCTTCAACAGCATCTTTTCTAGTAGGAAAGTGAATCTAGTCGGTACTTTGGTGGGTCAAAAGTGAACAATTCCCAATAGTTTTCAAAAGCGTCAAGAAAAACAAAAAATTATTAAGGAAAAACTGAGATTTTTACGAAAAACCAGTTTTTAAAAAATGTAATTTGTTTATTAGTGTATAACTCTGAAAAAAAATAATAGAATATAGATTAAATTTTCATTGAGAGTTTATATTATAAATTTCCATGCACCACAATATTTTTTGAAATATTATACTGTTCTTTTTGAGCTACTTATAGGCACAAGAAAATGTTGAGTTTTATAACTTTTTTTTTAACTATGGTCGATACCTACACAATTTTCGGTCAGCTAGAAAACTTAAAAATGTAATGAAACGTTCCTCATAAGTTGATGTTAGCGGAAATAAAAAAAAAGTTGAGTTTAAGTACACAATAAACTTTTAAGAGCGTCTGAAGTTAAAATGTTGACAAAATTCGTCAAAATCACTAAAATTGGCAAATTATTTCGAGTTAGAAATTCATAACAATTTTTATATCTATAGCTCAGCTATATTAAATGTAATATAAGGTTCCCCTTAAGTTTTCCTACATTCAACAAAAAAAAAGTTTACCGATAAGTCAAATTAATTTTTTATGAGCTTTTGAAGCTAGACATTGGATATTAACAAATTCTATACAATGATTTTCTTATTTGGTTGTTTTTCGTAAACTAATAAGTAATAACCATAGGCACTTGAAATGTTTATTAAATGTTTATTTTATTTATATATATAAAAATGGTGAGTGAAAAATGGCGTTATCTCATCAATCGAGAACGGCTGGTCCGATAAGGCTCAAATTTTTTTTAAGATGTTCGTAATGGCCAGGAGAAGGTTTTTTACGAAAGGTTTCTATTGGTTAATCGGGCATGTTAGTTGATTTGTATTATTATTTTTTGTCATTATATATATTTATATATAAACGAATTGTGTGTAGATTAGACCTCTGGGAAGAATACAGGCTAATTTAAAAATGGTTAAATTTGGTTGTTTTTATTCATCTGATATTTGTACGGTTAGGTTAGGTTAGGATTTTGTATCAATTGATTATATTAATCCACCATAGGTGGTATACTTTGATACTTTTGAGTTAAATCATACAATTACGTACAAACATCAAGGGGTCCGAGATCTACCGCAGGTAAATTGCCTACCTGTTAATATACTGCTGCGAATCAGAAATTTTATTCCAGGCAACGGAAAAGTTAAGATAAATTTTGAACACTATACACTGAATATTAAATAACAAATTGAACAAAGTTAGTCATATAGAGTTGGTACATTTAACGGGAAACGAAGTGCACGGAATCAGCTAGTTATTTTATAAATATTTTGTCTAATTTTGAGTTTATTATAGATCTTTTCAATTTGTTTAGTTTTTTATCCTATGAATATCAATAAAATTGTATTCGTTCCGTCAAAAAGCTTGAAAGTTTAATTCGACGTTCCTCATAAATTGTTATTAGCAGTTAAATATAAGATACACTAGACTAGAGACTAGTGAACGAAAATGTTCTATGTCGTGCTTGTGTATGACGGAGACATCAAATGCGTGGGTGGCGTCCTCATGGCTCGTATAACAGTATATCACTACATCATATTGTTAGATATCGTTAATTTGTATATTATTGATAAATGTTAGATTACCCGAACATATATTATAATTGTTGTACTTCTATAACAGGTTACAGGTGGTAGAATATTATGTAAGGTCACGTCTCGTATTTAAAGGCGGCTAATTTTCGCCAACTGTCGTAACTGCATTATGACCGTATTGAAGTGAGTCATATCAATATAGTATTATGTATAATAGAGGTATGTCTCGTAATTCGTAAACATATTTATATATTCTTATAGTTTACAATCACAAAATGACATACCTACCTCGAGTTTATATATGACCTTATTATTTATTATGTCGAATTATTATTTCTAGTTATGGATTTAGAAATATTGTATGAAATCCAACTCATACATTTCCAGTTAGTTTAACGAGTTATGCATTATTATTTGTAGTAAGTAAGCAAATATAAAATATATAAATTATAAAACCAATTTAGCAGCTGGAACTTTATTTCTTACTTTTTTAATCTTATCTCTAGCTAATTCATTGTGTACGTATATGTTGGATACGACTCAATGGATGGTTTTAAGAAAAGTATTTTGTCGATTTTAAGTTCTCTTTCTACTTCTTAGTTCATTTATCATTATGTGTTATGCTTATGCACTTATGTCGAAAGTATTGTATCGATTGTCTTTCATAATAATAGAATATAATTATTTATTTATGATTGTTTTTCGCTAAAAATTTTTGTTTTTGCGATTGCATCAATTTATTGCAAATGCTCACTCGACTCACCTTTTTGGGCCGGACGTTGGGCATAAGCAGCGAGTACTTGTCCACGCGGTACGACTCGGCGGACGACCATATGGTGGCGAAGACCATCACCACTACTAGCGAAACCAAAGACCCCGAGTGCGCGACCGACTGCATGACGCTGCTGCGGCAGTTGCTTTGACGTACGGGCGTGACCGGCGCGCGCGCGACCGCAAAATACCGCCGCGAAGACCGGTTGTCCGCGGACGACTGCGGAGGTCGGCGACGACGACGAAACGCACGATTCCTGTAACTATCGCGTAACTACTGATCCGCTGCTCGCCTAGTACGAAACGGTGACCGCGCGAATCATGTGCGCACGCCGGCAATCACCTATACCACATCACCGCCAAGAGCGAAACCCTGGTAATTATTATTCAGCGTGTATTTAATAATATTATTATAATATTATAGTTGCAGATGGTTTGCAATAATATTATTATTATGGTGCTAAAAAATCGGAGGTCACGACGAAACGGCACCGTGACAACAATATTACAGTTTTACACAGTACACGCAAATACGAACCGTTGTTGTGATGAAAAAAAAAATATTTTTTTCGTTTTATTTTGGCGCGCACTCCAGCCGCACTATACAACACTCGGGACCAACGCACCTGAACCGCGACGACCGGTGTACGGGCGAGGACTATATAGAAACCTCTCTCGCGCGCGCGCGTATGTCCGTGAATGTGAGTGCGCAACGCGCGTCCGTGTGTAATTATTTCCTCGGTACACCTACCGTGTGCGTCGGCGGTCCCCACTCGACTCGTCCACCACTACCACCACCGCCAACGCCACCGCATGAGCCCGTCCGTGTGAAGAGGAGACGTGCAACATGCTCCGTCCACCAGCGGCGGCCCCGCTGATGTGGCGACATTACCACCCGCTATCGATTTTCCCGGTCCCGCGAATCCAACAGTTGTGCGTGGGCGCCATCCCCTCCTACCTACTACCCCTTGCGGCCCGCGCGAACCGAAAGTGAGATAGCGCCACCACCGCACTGTCATCCCCCGCCCTACACCCACGACCCACTGACGGCATCCCCACACCCATCAGCATCTTTCTGCAGCCCACGCGACGGGTGCGCTCTCTGCAGATCAGCCCTCCGACGACCCAAATCCATGTAATAATATGGAACATACGCATATGGGTATTTGAGCGGAGTAGCTGACCAGTGACCACGTTTGAGTCTTGTTCAAGCCGAGGCGTTCTGCAGGTTGGTTTCCTGCGCGAACTGTAACGCGTTCTCGTGCAGGTGGTTCCGTCGACGAGGAGTAACTGTAAGTAAAATCGTCTGACCGAATTTCCACTTAACTTCAACTGTTTTGATCGTATTTCATATTTTCATATTATTTGTGTCCATAATTTACCCCGATTTTACCCCCCGTTGACGCTATCACTGCCGCGTATACAATATAATATATTATGATTATAATGTGCAGCACAGTTGGGTGAGCATCATATTGTTACAAAATGTTTAAAGTCAATTCCGAGTTCCGACACATTACAATAGTTGTACGTTTGTGTGCATACTGCATACCATACTGTTCATATCACATTGTATTCGTTCATAATATTATGTTGTTTGAGAATAACGATATTATTGTTTTAGGCATACAAAAACCAAATTCTATATTATATTATTATGTATATTATATAAAAACCGGAACGCTATACTTTCCTTCATCTGCATTATCGTATATGTATATATATTTTAACAGCGAGTTTAATATATTATATGCATTAGTGTTATACATCGGAGTTCGGACCCGTTATAAACCGAAAACCAAAACCAAAATTCCTACATCCCCGCTACCTGCTCACCCTGTCCACTTACTACCGGTATTATGTCTACTTAGATTCGAGATCGTGCGCACGCACACTCTGCAATGGCCAATGACATACCAACCAATAACGTTTGACGCGATTTACCTACACTCTACTCCTTGAAAAATGTCGACCTCTATAATATTTTCAACAGTCGTCTACATAATATTATTGAATATTATTATCCTAGTCGTCGAAATCAGGACTGTAATAAAACAATTTCTTTTACTCGTCAATAATGTAAAGGAAAAATTGTGTATTGGGCGTGATATATTTTGTATCCTATATACAGTTCATTGCCTGGGTCACAGCATAATATGAATAATGTGAACCTTAGACATTGCGTACAGATGGCTTTTGGAGAGTGTCCAATCGATTATTGTATTCTGTGGTCCATCGTTCAAACATCTGTTTATCTGATGCGAGTGCGGTAATAATCGCGCGATAACCTACAGCGCTAAACCCGAATGAGGTTGCCTGATTGCGGGAAGGTGACGCAATGCGAACACCACGGGGGTGGGTGTATTTCCCCCTACAACAATTTAATATACCTGCAGGACTCTAAATGATTTTTTAAAAAAATGATTTGCTTTCCATAAGCGCTTCTAATATAATATATTTATCGTTACGGACTTGACCTATCCAATGCTTCAAAAAGTGAGCTTCTCACATATTATATTATTATAATTATTAAAGTGCCACTCAAATGCGAATACCATAGATACTTGACTTTTTTACCAAATATTTTTTTGAGATGACTCTTTTTGAGCTATTTATAGACATTTTCAATTTTTTTTTTATTATAAATATGAGATGTTGCTACTTCAAAAAGTTAAAAATGTAATAGATGGTTCCTCATAAGCTGTTATAATAGCAGTTCAAAAATATACATATAGGCACATTTTTTATTGTGTCACGCCTGCATCGAAAGCTTATAGTTTTCGATGACGGTCGAAGCATTGGAAAGCGACCTTTTTCCGTCCAGCGGGCAGTAAAGTGGGAATCACAAAAAGTGCCAAGGGGTAAAGTGAAATCCCCAAAAGTGCTGGGCGTATGGCACAGTAGTGTATACAAGGAGTGACGTGGGGGTCATATCCCCTCCCAATGACTTTGGGGTGGATAATCTTCCATATTGTGTTTGATGTGAATTTTGAATCAATTCAAATTATAATATTCATTGTTCCTTATTGTCAAATATTTTTCTACCTAAGTAAAAATGTTGAGTGGGTGAGGGTTTTTCCAATTTTCCCATCCCATTTAGCTATCTTTTTTGATGCTCCCGCCGCGCGCCGCCTTCAAAAATCATGTCTACGTCACTGGGCGTATTCCCTGCACAACCATATAGGTACTGAAAGCTATGCCGCGGTGCTTACAAAACATAAGCTTTCGGTTACATCTTATATTCATATTATTATAACCTCCTTGCATGACGCGTAAACATGTTTCTTTTAATGAAATTGATTCCGTAGAATAGTCTGATCGTTGCAATATCCCGGCATAGTACGCGTTACCTTTACCTTCGCCCGAGACTGAAATTACTCAATTTCTACCCTTGCCACACAATATACTATTTCATAAGCATTTAAAGTTAAAATTTTGACAACACTCATAAAATTACGAAAATTTGTGAATTATTTAATAGATAAAAAAGTGTAAAATATTCAATTTTTATATTAACTGATTGAAAATTTAAAACAATGTTTCTCATAAGTAGTTCAAACTGTAACCTAAAAATCTAATATATATATATACCTAAACTTAGTTTTTTTTATAGATATTTTAACTTCAAATTTTTACGAAATTAGATATTCAAAATAAGAATAATATACTAATATAGGTACCTAACAAATTTAGATATTTTGTTGTACTTAATTTAAAAATATTATTCATTATATATTATTATTCGGTTAACGCCCACTTTGAAGTTTGTAACCTATATTATCATATTTTATACACACAAATACACAAAAAGATTTTCAAATGCAATGTTTTTGGCGAAAATTAACTCAACCTATAGACTGTGTTATTACCTATGTATAATAGTGTGGTAAAAAAAATTGTACTTAAATATAAAGCAAATATATCATACAATATATGGTTACCCACTTATGCCGAGTTGCATGAAAAATGTATTGGTTCAATAAAATTTAATCGACCAATATCATTGACCATTAAATCATTTTTAAGAGATCATTAGCTCACTATAATATGGATTCGTTAAATGTTTACTTGTAAATGGAAGTAATGTCCGTGCAACCCGGCATTAGTAATGTATATTATTACATTAATATATTTATATGGGCGGACAGTCCGTATTTGCTCAGAATCGTTTTTCGTATGTAATACGATTTATTATTGAACTCAAATTTAACACATCCATTACAACAGTCATCCTTGCTAATATTGTATACGGTGAGATAAAAAAATAATATGTGTCCCTTAAAATTTGTCATAACAAACAATTGCTTATATACTATAATGTATTTAAGTGCATATATCCGTATCACTACACCGATGAGTGAGATGAAAAAAATCACACATTATGCAATATGTGAAAATATGTGAAGTCTCCTAAATTATATTATAGGTAGATAGCTAAAACTATATTTTTCAATCAATAAGTTCCTACCTATATATTGGATGTATTGGCACTTGGATGGTTTTATCGAGATCATCGTTAATACTTAATTATGATTAGGTACCGTATTAAATTAAGTACTAAAATACCTATACCTAGGCTATATAATCTAAATTGCATTGGTACCTATCTCAAATTCACGATTAGAAATATTTATACGATTATTGAGATACAAACCTAAACAATTAAAAGTCAAACCACATTTTTTTTGAATATTTATATAAGTATATTAAGTACTTTGATACTTCAAAAAATAATTTACTGAAAGAAAAAAAGATAGAGCTCGTAAAAAAAAGTTGCTTATTGGGGAAACAATGGTGTAAATCCGTCCTTGAATATGACGTGTATGAGTATGACGTTCTGCGTACGTATTTAAAAAGCCGTAGTCGTTTTCCTCCACTGTCCATATTTTCCTAAAAAAAAAAATATTAAATAAATCTCGACCATTTTCCTCCACTTTCCAATATCCTCTAATACGGAATTAAGAATAAAAATAATATTATGTTTAACACAAGTATAATAGTTATTAAAATATTTATAACTAATAAACATTAAAAATTTATCTGTATGAATTATTAAAAATTAGGTATGTCATTAATAATCATTTTACTTTTTTTTTTACGTAATTTAAAATTTAAAAATTCCATTGACGATTACTTCTCTGTTTGAATTTGTTTCACAATATTGAGCCACATAAATATAATTCGTTTTTCTTTATACGAAATACGAATATCGGCTAAATATTTAAATGTTTTGAGGAATATGGATATCATTTTAGTCCAAAAAAATGTTTGTAAGAAAATAAGATCTAACCATTTTCTTTTTATATTGGAGCAAAATGGACAATGAATGAAAAAGAAATCACATTTTTCTAGGAAAATGGACCCATTTAAAATATTACCTACAACTGTTTTGAGATCATTCACATCATAAATAGAGCTTAAACAGATGGTTTCCAATGAACATTATGACTAATAAATAATTACTTTTTCAGGTGAACTTAATAGGTACTTGAAAACCAATACTTATTATAAAATGGCAGCAGCAGTTGACGAAAATATGGACTTGAGTCAGTACAAGCATCGCCGCCATGAATTATCATATTCAAAACTAGATGAATTTCGCAAGTAAGAAAACGCATGGAAGTAAAATATTTAGACATTTATGACATGATGATATTTTGTTTGTTTAGCGGTGATATAGCGTGGGACATTACTTTAAAGTCAGCAGATGGAAAAGAAATACATGCTCACAAATGTGTGTTGGCATCCCAGAGTGGATATTTTGAAAGTATGTTCATTGGGGGATTCAAAGAGACCACTCAAGATGTTATCCAAATCAATGATATTAGTGGTGATGTTTTGAAAGTTGTAATCGATTTTATGTACACGGGTGAATTGGTTACGATCGAAGAGGATAACGTTGAAGTAATGAATTTTTATTCAACTCGTCGAATATCATTTATTCCATAATATACCGTAAATGCTTAATGCTATATAGATGTTTTATTTTTATAGGAAATGTTGAACGCAGCTGATATGTTTCAAATAGAAGATATTCAAAATGCATGCCTTAAATACTATACGAGTGTTGTGCATGACAAAAATTGTTTGGAGTTCAAAGAAACAGCAGATTTAAGAGCGATAACTACATTGTCTGAAATATGTTTAAATTATGCTCTACAACGTTTTCTGTTAGTTGATGTATCATATAATGTTTATGTAGAAAATGTAGGGCATGGATTAAAATTCTCTAAAAAGTGCGACAAATGCTTTAAAGTCGATTTAATTGAATCAATTGTAATGCCATAAATAGTTTGATATTTAAACGTATTCGTGGGACTAAACAGCATTTAAATAATACAGTTCTCAATAACGATATCGTTTAACATGTTACATAATTAACTGCACAATCAATGCGGTCGCATCAAAAATGTTTTAGTCCATCTCGTTCTTGCTTTGCACTTTATGAACCCTTTACTTGAAGTCAAATTTTCCTAAGTACCTATTCGACGTAACAGCGAGAAAATCGATCTAAGGGTACGTCCATGTACCATCACTAAGTTTAGTTTAGAAACTTATCTGTATCAAGAAAATCGAATAACTCTAATTGCTACGTCCATGTACTTTAAATGCATAAAAAAACTTGGAGTTTAAAACCTATGCAGAAAAAAACTGAAATAAAATCTTAACGTTCTTAGATATTTACAACAAATAAAAACCAGTGAAAAAAATGGCATTTAAAAGTTACACCAAAAACCAAATTCGATTTTGTCAAAAACCGATTTTGCGTAAAAATTCCCGTTTTTCCTTAATTTTTATGTTGTTTTTCCCGGCGCTTGTGAAAACTACTGGGAAATTTATACTTTTGACCCCCCAAAGTACCAACTAGATTCACTTTCCTCACTGAAAAGCTACTGATGAAGAAAATCCAAGCATTTTTACTGTCCTAAAACGTGATGACAGACACAAAAATATAAAAAAAAACATACATCATTGTAAAACCAATACATTCATCGCTCCGCTCAGAATCTAAAATTCAAATTTATGAACTAAATTTTGTTTGTGAACAACAATGTTTTGGAACACTTAGAACAAAATTATTATTGCATTCCATCTGTTCAACCATACCTTAATTATTTTATTACACATTCATGTTGATGTTATAATTTTATTGAAAAATATCATTTCAATTTATTTCGTAGCCATATAGCCGAACATCAATCTTTTTTGGATGCCGACGTAACACACATAATGCAATTGTTAAAGAGTGATGATTTGTGTGTTACAAATGAAGAACCAGTTCGTATACTTTTATTAATATTAAATCAATACAATATTTCATATGCGGCATTTTTGGTGGGGGTACAGCAAAATCATCAATTCCAATCATAACAGGCAACAGCTGCCAACATTATTATTAGGGACTATTTTCTTAATGGCAGGTACATTGATTATTGGTTAATGTTGTAAAATAAAAATATTTTTAAACATTCTTAATTACCTATCCTGAAATCATGGAATAATATTTAAAGTGTAATAACTGATAAACATAATATTTAATATTTTTTTTTATTGAAAACATTTAAGCTTGAAATAAAGTAAAATGTTAGGGGGGTGGAGCCCTGCACGTAAACTGTGGTAAATGTATGACACCTTAGTGCAGCCTATAGTGCCGCCTATGGCAATATTATTGGTACATTTTTATTTCTATCATAAGTATCTATGTAATTTAATGAAAAACTAAACATTTTTCAGGTGTATAGAGCTATCATGAAATGGGTGAAACACGATGAAACTAATCGAAAACATTTATTGCCAGAGTTGTTGGCAAATATTAGGCTAGTATTCACTTCGAAAGAATTTCTGGTTGAAGAAGTTATATCAGATCCACTCATTTCTTCTAACCCTGAATGTGAGTCCAAGCTGATTTTATAAATCAATTAAACAATTATAGCATATAGTAATAATATAATATCATATTTAAAATGATTATGTTAACTATTTAGGTTCGAAGATTGTCAAAAGAGTAATGGTTCATTTTAATTACAAATACGGAGATTCGTTGTCAAAGATAATTACTAATGCGAAACCAAGGACGAATACCAATAGGGTAATTTTATAAAAATACTGTATGAATATTATCTTACTGGATGTAGTATACAGATTGATTAATATTAATTAATAATTTTAATTTTACAAATTTGTATGAAATCACCTTATCCTTCTTTTATTTGCTCAAATCTAACCAAGAATTAGTACCTACTCGTGTATACAACCAAAAAATTCGAACAAAACCACGAATTATTTTGTATAAGACATGTAAGCTCACAGATAGGCCGTCTCCGTTCAAAATCTTCTTTCTTCGTACCTATATAATGATTCAACATTGAGTTCAAATTTGACATAATATCCAACAAAGTTGTAGTCGGTGACCTACAACTGATTGACGAGGTGCACTCGACACCAAGGGGCGTGCTCAGCCTAGTACACCTATATGGCTATATACTACCTTTATACAGCAGGGCGACCCAAGTTTTTAGTTACCTCTATAAATATAGAGTTTTACAATATTTATTTATTCATTTATCTTATACATTTTTGTATTGTGAATTTAACAGCTAACCATTGATGATATGAGGCGTCTACGACATTATAATTGTTCGGACTCGCCAGGTTATTCAGAAAGAGAAACAATAGACCTTCTTGATTATTTTAAAGAATTCGATATCAATCATCATTTCCCACAAATCGAATGGAATCAATATATGAATGAAAATAATTTTCTCACACGATTTAGCGAAGTATGGAGAGGTATTAATGAGGGTACTACTGATGATGATGATGATGATGAAGAAAGTATTGGCTAGTATGAACATAATTTTCTACTCAATAAATAAAAACAAATGTTTGATATTAAATTTAAAACTTTAACTGAACAATTATTACTTTTCAATACAATACAGTAGGTATATATGTAACTATAAAATGTGTGAACAATTAAAATTATAAGCATAGACCTTATGTCCTTATCTTATCTGTCCAAGTAGATTATATACCATATATTTATAATAAATAATATAATAGCGCCGAAGGGACCGATATTGTATCCTTTCTTACGTAGGTAATACGATTATAATAAATTACCATTCATTTATGGACAGTTTAGGTATTGCTTATACCTACTATATACGTCATAATGTATTACTATTTTATTATATGTCAGCAAGCATACAATCATTTTTGGACCTTGTTTGATGGATACATCAATCACACATCACTATTCATTAATTAGTAATTAAAAATAACTTTGGAAAACAAATTTAAAAAGATCCTTCGATAAAAAATCGTAGGTTCATATCTGACCAATGAATATAATATAAATTAGAAACACGTTTTACATAAAAATTCAATGAACTAAATGCTCATCCGGCATTTGTGTATTTAATAATATATACTATAAATGTTTTCCAAAATTTTCAAACACACACAATAGTGGGTACCTATGTGGTGTTGTATTTAAAAATTAAAAAAAAATTATATCTACGCTTTGAACTGTTACAAAGTTACCTGTAGAGTATTGACCATATTGAATATAATTAGTAAATTAAACTGTTTACAAATTTAGTGTTTTTAAGATTAATTTGTTTATATGTGTAAGCATAACATTTACGGTTTTTACGATTTATACATACAAAAATATATTATAAATTATAATACAGTTTATCATCAAAGCTATAATGTTGTTATTAAGTCTCAAACCTATATTATATTATTATATACTTATATACATATATTATGTAATGTGTTATTATTATATACTTATATACATATATTATTATGTATTATGTTATTATTATATACTTATATACAATATACATATATTATTATGATGTATTATGTTATTATTATATTTTAAAACATTTACTCATCATACATAATTTTCATACTCAACCTTAAAATTATTAATACATTCAGTCGTTTTTTAATGTGTGTATTTATCACTTAAGTATTTAAGTATCATGGAAATATTTTTTTTTTTTGAACAATTTTACCTGCACCGTAAATAACGAATAAGGGAGTACAAAATATAATAACTTAGTCATATTGCATTATTTGTGTAAGGTAACAATTATTATTTATATGTATAAGAGTGTCGCATTTACTATTATTAAAGTATATAAATATGGCTGTACATCTGTTTATTAATATTGTTATTCTTCTGTAACTAATACCTATATTCTCCATGAGTTTTATTACGATTTCGTCAGAAATTGTGTACCTGCTTTATAGATATAGGAGCATTAATCTATGAGCGTTTATGGTTTGTTAGTTAATTACACTATATTTTACAAAATATATCCAATAATAACACCGATTACAATAAACCTTTGGATTCACCCACAAAGAGAATACAATATAATATATGTATACAGTGAACTTAATTGTCTATACCGTTTTATAGTCCACACAATGTGGAGAGCAAATTTGAAATCTCTAAATTATATATTATTATCATATCTTTTGTAGGTATTTTACATACATCGTGCGTAAACCATCGTAGGATATAATATAGCCAAATACTATACTACATATTACCCAATAGTAACCAGTTAGTTATTTTATCTCACTATCTTCATGATATAGCAATTAATTTTGATTCTACAACAATAAATAGACAACTTTCTTAACGAGAAAAAAATACTTAAATATTTGGTTTTAAAATAGCACCCTATTTAATTTTTTGTTCAGTGAATAAAATGGAAAGATAATTTAACGACATATTATGTATACAATTTATTGTCTTAATAATAGGTACCTGGCTGAATAATGATTATTATGAGCTGAACACCGGTTGAGTTTTTCTATACTTCTATATAGGTATATAATATGTGCTGGTCATAAGTTATAGATAGGTAGGTACCCTAAAAAATGTGGATCTTATAAAAATTAAAACAGAGAAACGCTTTTAAAGAACAAGATGATCAATATTGATAATTCGCCAAACTATTTAATATATACATCTACCTACATGGATTCACTGAGGAAGTGTACATAACATCTGGCCATCTAGGTATACTTAATACTTATACATATAGTTACATGGATAAAAACAATTACAACCGTACAACGCAAATATTATAGTACATTAGTACATTTATAATATTTTGATCACATCGTACCAGCCCCTATATAGGTTATATTGCTATAACATAATATGGCTATATACAGAGTGATTTTTTAAGCATATTCATTTTTCCCTCTAATATAGTACATTTATTCAAATTTAGATTTTTAGGAATTTTTTAGAAGACCTATACACTCGCATGTGTTTTCTCCGTCTTACAAATGTAAAACATTGCGAAAACTGTTTTGCGAGAGTAAGTACCACTCAGCCTTTAGTCCAAGCTAAGCAACCAAATTTTCCACACTTTAAAAAAGAGAACATATTTTACTGTCAACGTCATTTTTATTTTTTCGATATTAGATCTCAAATAAAAGTTATTCAAGTTTGAAAATTAGTTATTTTTGAGTTTTTCAAACTTGGATAACATTTTTAGTCATCTTAAGCAGGTAGACCTACCGAAAGACATATTTCCAAATCTCTGATATTTTTTGTACTACTTAAGGAGTGTCCAATGGCGATATAAACTTCTGGTTTTCGAATAATTATTAATTACGGTAACTCAATTAATGGCATTGCCAATTGTACATTACATTTTTTCGAATATCTCTTATTTTATAATATAACCCCCCATACTCCTGAAATTTTTAAGAAGAACTAATTTCTTACAAGATGTATTCTTCGGTCAATATTATAATAATATAATAGTATATTATACCTCTACTATATAGCTGTAATATATAATATATTAATTATAATACCTATATAATACCATGTGGTCCTCTGCTCGCGGGCGGTGATCAGACGATGACTACAAGGAACAGTTGAGATTCGGCAATGGCCGAAGAATTGGCGTTCGCGACATACCGCCGTAGTTATCTTGCCGTTCACTCCAAAAGTGCACTTTCACATCTCGATCCCTTCGTTGCTGTCGCCTAGTCCTGATACCCTCAGCAAAGTGGGAGGACTTTTCGCATTGGGATCACGAACTTGGTTCATGATCGGGATCGACAGACGACAGCACAGCAACACGCGACCGGCATGCAGTCGAACTCCTCTACACACGACCACACTACAGAGGCCACGAATCTCGTGGTCCCACCGTAGCGTGGAGCTTCGCATGCCACTGGCGTCGATCCTGCAGGATCAAGCCAGCCAGCCAAATCTCCAAACGCATTCACTCGGCGTGGGCAAACGGTGCAGCACGAAGGTGACTCGTCACGGCGGCAACGGAGACCGCAGAGCTGACGGCGGGTGGGTGAAGGACAACTATAATTGCCTGGGGTATTGACTGGAGCCACATGAGCGTACAAGATTCGCACGTTAAGATGGACGTACTTTTTTAACGCTAGTGTCTATACTGGAGTAAGCACATGAGCGTCGATATGACGTCCGTTAAAAATTCGTCATAATTGAATTAAGTACACTATTGGTATTAGGTAGTAAAGACGTATAGTGCATATAAACTATAAAGTACTACCACACGGCTTCTTAAAATAATATGCAGGACCCAAACGAAATTTTTTCTTTGGTTCTTTATCATATTTATATCCCTGAATAAAAAAAGGACTAAAATATTGGGTTCATCCAATAAATTGTGAACGGTATACTGCAAATGCGTTATTTTGTGAAGTTGTACGAGAAACTATATACGATAAGATTCAGCCAAATTGTTTAACTATGCTTCTGTATGTCAGTAAGATCATTCTCCAAACTTTTACTGTAGGTAAATCAAAAATGATATTCAACTACAAAATACCAGTATGCGATCAACCATACAGCTCGGAGAAATGTTTGTGATAACTTTGAAGTGAGTTGGTAATTACTAATTTTACACGTTACTTGTGTGCCTGCTACTGTAACCGATAATGTACCTACTTCTACGACTCACATCGAAAGATGAGCGCGTATCGACGCATTTTTGTACGCTCGTGTGTGGCCTATAGGAAGACGGACGTCCGCGCGCCGGACCCGAGGAACCAAAATAACGTTTCCGGGTCCTGCGGGGCCACCGGTCGCGGCGCCAACGGGACGCCAGGGCGAAAACCACGGAGAGTATCTGGATAGCGATGCGTTGCAGTGCAGTCCGCAGATCCTCTCCCCTTTTTGCCCAGTGGTCTGATCCCGTCGGCCGAATCGCGACGCTTCCGGTCACCGTCGAATCCGCGATATTAACTAGTCTTCGTCGATAGCTATTAGCTCACGCTTTGGTCACCGACGTCGCCGTCAGAATTTTGAAACAGGGCTAATACTTTTTCTGGTAATAATATTTTGAAATATCTATACGTAATATTAAATTTTCTTGAATTACTTTTCCGATTAATCAAGGAACTGCTAGTATTTAAGGTTATAGAATAATATTCTATATTATTCAAGAGAGTATGAGCTGAGTCATAATAATGGATGTGTTAAATTTGAATTCAATGATAAATCGTTAGGTACGTCATATGAAAAACGATTCAAAACAAAAACGGTGTGTCATCCTATATTACTAACCTTAGTGACTACACATTTTTATGATATTGTTGCTATTAAAGAAATTTATTTTACTATTAGTGATACACTAAAAACCAAGATTAAAGATATCTTAACATGACAAAATCGATAAATAGATCTATTTTGTCATGTATCTTTATATCTTTAATCGTGTCATAGACCTATCATAGAACTACTACTGTGGTAAAAATCACGAACTAAGATATACCACGATTAAAGATAATATATCTATAATAGTACCAAATATAT